TTCACCATGAAGATAAAATAAAGTCCGAAATTTTTTTTTACCATAATAAAGTATATTACATTAGCTTTAATTTAAGATATATATAAAAGTGTTAGACCTTCCGGAACATTTTCAAAAATCAAGTTGAAAAAATTAATTTTTTGTGAAAAAGTTGTCATTTTAAATCCTCTCTTGTGGGCAAGTAAAGGGTTACATATAAAAAAAAAATATACCAAATGAAAGGTAATGATATTATGCATCTATATAAAATAGGTATATAAGATAGGTAAATATCTAAGGTATCTATAAAAAAAAAATTATATTGATTTGGTTATTTTTAAAAAAGTTATAGCAATTTTAAGTAAAAAAAATTGAAAGAATTTTGAAAATTAGCGATTTTTAAATTTGTAATTTTTTTGGAGGTTCCCCCATTTACGGGGAACGAGGGAATTTTTTTCAATTTTTAAGGGTAATGTCTTCGACTAGATACGATTTGTGATCTTTTGACGTATTGTTGAAAGAAATTGGTTCGGTGAGAGCTGAGAAAAAGTGGTAACAGACACAAAAAAAAAAAAACACATCTTAGTAAAACCAATACCTTCTCAGCTTCGCATCGAAGCTAAAAGTATATTTTTGACTCTGATAAAAATTTCTTGTTTACCATTTATTCATAACACAGCTCCACAAAAAAAATCGAATGAAAAGTGCTAGTAAACAGACCATGTTTACTTTTGTGGGGTCGCTGAATCCGAATCTCAGTCTTGTTTGACGCCGTCACATCAGGGTTCTTCATAACTTCGAAATGTGCTAATGAACTAAGTAACTACTCAACTATGTCAATAGGGCAATTTCTATACTAATAATACTACTGACCTCACCTAGTATAGTATTAACAATGAAGTATTGTGTGGTCATATTACTATATTATGCCAAAAGTACTCTCAGCGTCAGGTCAGTCTAAATGATGTTGGGCTTTTTACAGGTTAAGGCTCTGCGCACTATAGGTTTAGGTTACACATTTTCCTGTCTTATTTCCTAATGAATAACTTGGTTCTCAAACACACTTTTATGTTATGAAAAACCATGACGTGATGGCGTCAAACAAACCTCAGATTCGGATTCGGCGCCCCCATAAACATAAAGTAAACATGGTCTGTTTACTAGCACTTTTCATTCGATTTTTTTTGTGGAGCTGTTAATTATAATTAACAAATTATTTTCTGAAATTTTTGTACCGAGCCGTTAAATTTTCATACAAGTTTGCCATGATAGTAATGAAATATATAACTACTTTATTATTTTTTGTAGTTTCTTCATAAAAATTACAATATTTAATTATTAGATGTAAATTTTATACTATATTTTATTGCTATAATAAATATTTATTGTTATATTAAACTTATAAATCATAAAACTTGCTATCCAGGTTATAAATAAGGAAATAGGATTTGATTTTGATTTTTAAATAATTCACCAATTTCTTAAAACTTAACAATATCTACAGATTTGCATTGAAGCGTATTTTTTATGATGGTGATTTTAATTACTGTCACATATCATTTATACTTAGTACAGTATGAATGCGGCATACATGTGCCGCAACTTCTCTGTGCTACCGTGTTTTTTAATTAAAAATATAAATTTTGTACTACGGTTTATTATTTTATGTGTACTTAATCATCTTTTGTTTAAATTTTAATTAAATTTTTTAAGGGCATATTGTTCTATTTTTATTTCTGTACTCTAGTGTTTATTATTAGTTATTACAATAAATTAAATTAATGTCTTATTTTCATAAGCTAATAAAAAAAGTTGTACTAAGTCAGTAATTAATTCATTAGTGATAGATCTTGTTAATTTTTCAAACATTTTTTTACAATAAAATCTATTTTTGTTAACGTTTTTTCATTATTTTTAGATCAAAATATTCCAGAAAGGATTGTGCTCTCTTTGGACTAGTCTTAAGACCATAACTAGGACTTACTTGACTTTTGTTTTTATAAATAAAATTTAATTTCTACTCTTAAATTTATACTTTAAGGCGTCTGGGTACCGACCTTTTTTCAGGGGTCGAATATAGGCAATTTTGCGGTTTTTACATGTTACGCAGTGTCGTTGTGTGAGAAATAAATGATTATTAGTGTGAGTGTCCATTATTGGGAGTATTTTCGTCGTGTTATAGTCGATAACAAAACCGGTTGTGTACCTGCCTTACTTTTTGATGCAATACGATTATGTTGATAACGACACACGTTTATTTTATGTAGTATAAAAACTATAGTTTAACACCAGCCTCACTGTAAATACTAATAGACGTGTCATGATTTCACAAATTTTAATTGATTATAAAAATAATTAAACTATTTATTTTCGACGATTAAGAAAAACTAAATATTTACAGAAAACAAGTTAAATCATATGAGATCCACATCGATTATTTTGAAGTTATAAAACTATAAAAAAACTAATTTTAATTATAAGAATTCAATTTACAAAATTACATTATTTACACACTAAAATATTTAAGTTTTATAAGCCTGTTCTTATGGGAAGTCCTTTATCATTCACTTATCCATTTTCAATAGCAAACCTAGTTTCTTCTTTCCCCGCTAACTCTATCGAATCCCATGCAGTTTTTTCAGTTTGCTTAGCAATATAATCATGATATTTTTGATACGTCTTATTACTCATACATGGCATATTTAGTACAGCAGAAAACTGTTCTAAATTTGTAAACCCCTGACTAGTATTCAAAGTAGCAGTAACAACTGCAGTATTTATACTATGAGAATCATTTAATTTGGGATCCTCTGAATAAATAATTTCTTTTTTTTTGCAAAAATTACATCAGAGTGAAATTCTGAAAAAAAACCCCTTTGAACTTCAGTTTTAAATACATGATTTAAAAATTACAAGCAAATAACTCGTGTTTAATTGATTTCGAACTATTAAAAAAATATTCAATATTTATTATTCTACGACTGTTTAAATTATACCTAAAATAGTTAAATATGTGTATTAATTTCATTGTAAAATAATACTATAAAAAATAAACTAACTCTTTTTGAATAATTGGTTAACTTCTGAAGAAATTTTTTTACAAGTATCAAGAGTTTGTGCACTGGGTGACAATGGTAAAAAATCATAAAAACTATCATCTCCAATTTTTCTAAAGAAAAAAAAATGTTTCTAATAAATTATATTTTAACCTTGCCCTCCTTAAAAAAATTTTCTTCGTGAAAAAATTACTCACTCATTTATTAAATTCTCCTCGTTACTTGTTTGAGGTATGTCAAGTAAAATGTTAGTTTAAGAACTGGAAACATTCTACCAAAATAATGTATATTGTATTTATTTTTTAATTTTCATGTGTAGCTGAAGTGGTATCTTGATTTTACAATAATGTGTTTTTTATTTACAAATTTTTTCTACTAATAAGAACTATTAATTTTCAGTCTGATGGTGTACCAAAATATTTTTTTTTTTTTAAATGTCACTTATATCTCATGAATTCTAAGTACTTCATATTATATTAAATATAAGTTATATCTCATTATCACTCAAATCTGACCACCTTTTTTAAAAAAATGATTTACTTTTTTTTATTGTATGTAGTTTAAAATTCATTTTATTCATAACATCAGTTACTTAGTGTTAGATCTAGTTTGATAACATAGTGTGAGACTGAGAAAAACACGTTTTTGTGTCAAATTTAAAGAGAAATTATTAAAATATAATGCTGAATACATAAACAAGATATATTTTTTGATCTTTTGGCGTATCGTTGAACAATAAATGTCCAGTAGGTACAGATATGGATAGACACAAGCAAAAAACACATCATAGTAAAACTAATACCTTCTCAGTTTTCTATCGAAACTAAGAAAGTGTATGAAAATTATTTTTATATATTCGTACCTCACCAGATATTGTTTTATGACTCCCCATTTTTTTAGCGACACTTATATAGGAATACAACAACAAAATTTGTTTCTTACTATGTAATGATGACAGGTTTGCAAATAAGATAAAAGCAAATAATCTAATATCATATATACAGGTATAATATCAAGTATGCATTGTAACTATTTTTAGACAGTCGGTATTGCCCTATGCAACCTATGAGCAATAAAATAGCTGCAGCGGATAACGCACATACGCGCACGAGCATGTCACATATAACAGCTACTGTTTGAAAACCATTAGATTGAGCGTACAAAACAACCCGTTTTTGTTCCATCAGTACGCGGAAACTACTGATGCGATAAGAATTCTGAAAACAAATTTGAATTTAGTATCATGTCACTTAGGTATCGGTCAGACCACTTTTTTGAAATTGTGATTCCTTCAACGTAAAAAATTATTTTGAAAATTTAAAAATTATTCGAAAATGAAAACTGTAATAAAAGGTTAAAAACATCAAAATTTCAAAAATATGGTCTGACCGATACCTAAGTGACATGATGCTGAATTCAGATATGTTTTCAGAATTCTTATCGCATCAGTAGTTTCGTCGTACTGATGGAACAAAAATGGGTTGTTTTTGACTAAAAAGCGGTCGGTACCCAGACGCCTTAAAGGTAAATTAAAACAAGTTTTATTAAAAATAAAGGACATTTTACTCATATTTACTTTGTTAAATAATGAAAATGTAACCATTACTAAAATACTTGTACAGATTTAAAAAAAAATTACTATATTGATTAAGTATAATCTATAATAATATAGTTCAGTTATTGCAATAAGTCTAATAAATAACTCTGTGTAAAAGATGACAAAATTCCTCAAGGCTGTCTAACTATTTGTCTTAATATAATATCTGTGTAACTTACATGCCTGTAACCAACTGTTATTCACTCTTATTTTTAACTTAATAAATTATTTAATTAGCTATTTTATTGTGATATATACTTGATGTATATGTAATGACGGTCAATGGCCTTTGCTGCTGCAGCCTTTTTTTAATTTAAAAAAATCTAATATAATAAATTTTCATATAAAATAAGAATACAGTCTGAAGAGTCATTACAATAAATAATTTATTTTATTTTATTTTATATAAATTAAATTAAACATTCAAGCTCAAGCATGTAAAATGGTAAACAAATAAAACAAATTATTAAACTTTACATAAAATTTATTATAAAACTGTTATATTAATTTTAATTATATCTCTTTTTATATCTAATGGCTAGTTATACTAGGATAAATTAAAAGTTAAATAAACACAAAATATTTTTCATTAGAAATAAATTTTGAAACAAGAACCCAACATTATGACTTTAAGACATAATCATTTTTAAAATTTATATAAACAATGATAACTAAAAAAAGTTATTCAACTTCTGCTCTTGTATCCATATTTGCTTCACTTTCATCAATTGGACGTCCTCTGATACAATAAGGATTATTTTTTCCATTTACTGCATCTTCTGTTACATGAACACTTACAACATCCGACCCAGGTATCTCAAACATTGGATCCAAAAGAATAGACTCCTAAAATTGACGTATAGTATTTGATTTAATTATTAATTTTTTTATCCTAAATTGGTCTGTTTGGCAATCTTTTTATATATTTATATAAATATAATTATGCATAATATTTTAACTAACCTAGTAAAATTTTACCATAATTTAATCATAAGAAAAAAAATTAATAGAGTTATTATTATTTTTTATTAAACCACTGTCGTAACACAGTAAAAAGCAAATGATAAACGGTAAATGTGTAAACTATGTGTACGAAGATGAATATGAGGAGGTGGTGCCTGCTGTCTAGGTATTCACGTGCGTGTTGTCGTACAGCAGTCACCGTGCTCGGCTGACACTCCGGGTTAGCTGTGGGTGTCGGAAAGGCTGTTGTTATAGGAAGGGAGAATAAGAGTAACACCTAGGTATGAGGTGCAGACGAAGTNCGAGGAAAAGAGTATATAGGTTAGAAAAGGAATAAACAAAGACTTTACTTTAAACAGTAAGCCGGACAGCGACAACCGAGTACTGAGACTGATGAATGACACAAGGCACTGGAGTCGACTGACGATGATGGTCAGGTCTATTGGGTTTTTATAATAATTATACTTATTGCCGATTTGGCAATAAATATTATTTGTTAATTCATCAGTCTCAGGCAGCGGATGTGCTGTCTGTATTTTATTAAAATAATTCTCACGATTATGAAAACGTGACACCATCACACCACTAACTGTAACAAGATCAAGGTTAGAAGCCTAAACTGTTACAAAATGTGAATATATATTGTGTATATTAGGGTAACCATTATTTGTCAACTTTAAAATTTTATATTAGGTACTAGCCATTTTATTCTACACAGTAAATAGAAATTTTTAATAAATTTTAAGAGTTTGAAAATTTACAGTAATGGATAGAAGTGTTAATTTTTGCATATAACTTTTTAAATATGACAATTAGAAAAAAATTGTACATAACCAATAAAAAAGTTTTTATTCATTTTTTGTAGTATTTAATTTATACATTTAATTGTAAAATCAAAAAAATAATTAATTGACATTTTTCACAAAAATTATCAAGTATTTGCTTTTTGCATCGAATACTTAAGTAAAAAAAATTAAATATATCAATTTTTTCATTTTGATACTTTTGAAATATTTATGGTTATTATTTATTTTATATTATAATTTCAGTAGTACAGAAAAATTTATATTTAACATCATTTTTTAATATATTTTTACATAATTTAATAGTATTGAGTATGTTTTTATTTGTAAAATTTAAAAATCTATACTCAAAAAAATAAAACCCTTGATGATTTTAAAAAAAAATATATGAATCAATTGTTTTTATTAAATTTACAATTAAACATCAACGCAATAAAAATATTTTTTTTGGTAATATATTTTAATATAATATTGGTTATGTACAATTCTTTTTACATAATTTCTAGTTCATTCAAACTTGTAAACTTTAACCACCAAAAAAATATATTGAAACTCTATGGCTACTAACCAAGACTCTGATTGTCATGATTAAGATAACTAAATTTCAGACCAATATAAAACTCTTTAAAATGTCAATAGTTATATTTTATAATGCCGTGGTTATTATTATTAAGAATAATACTATAGATTTTTTGTAACATACAAAAATATATGTTTATATCAATCATTACCACTATTGCTCGTAATCCTCTAGCTCCTGTCTTTTTTTCTAATGCCTGTGCTGCTATAGCTCGAAGAGCATCATCTGTAAAGGTTAGATCTACTTTATCTAGACCAAAGAGCAGTTTAAATTGCTTGATAGTACTATTTTTAGGTTCAGTTAAAATTTGAACAAGTAAATTCCTGTTAAGAGAATGGAAAGGTACAAGCACAGGAAATCTACCAACAAATTCCTAATAAAAAAAAAATTATAAATTTAAAAAATAACACTTTAAAATTTGCTTAAGTAGCCTACTAACACTTTATATTGTTAATATCAATTAAAATAATAGTACTTACAGGAATCATACCAAATTGAATTAAATCTCTCGGCTCAACTTTTTTCAATAAACTATCTCTTTCTTCGTTTTCTTTTTCAATATCAGTATGATCAACAGCAGATGCAACACGATCTGCATCAGTTGCTTCTCTTCTACTGCCCATAGAAGTTTCAAATCCAGTACCAAAACCCAGGCTCTAAATAAATCATAATTAAAATAAATATTTATAAACAATTTTTAAATATTTAAGAATAATCCACAAACCAATTATTAAAATTTTTAAATCTTAGTAATTTAAAAAATAAGAGCAGGTATTAAACTAGAGGTGATGAACAATAAAAAATATTTTAGAAATATGATGAAAGCAAAAACAAGTTGATTGAAAAATTTTAATAAAACATGAAAATAATTCAATGCTACAAAAAAATTATATTTCAATATTAACAAAAAAACTATTTGAATTTTTAAACATTGCTTAAAAATTCAAGTTGAAACTTATACTGAAAATTGGTAAAGATTGATATTGGTTATAAATAATAAATTACAATACACATAAGTAAAAATATAAAGATTATAAATAAAAAAATTATTATATTTGTCTAAATAAATATTTCTCAAGTAATATTTAAGTAATAAAATTACATTTTGATTTGTCCTGCGACTTATAAGTCTGTCAAGTCCAGTAAAAGCGCCAGAGGCCACAAATAATATATTTGTAGTATCCACTTGTACAGTTTCATTTCGTAGTTTGCGGTTATTTTTTTCTGGAACATTGACTATAGTTCCTTCAAGCATCTAAAATAAAATTTAACAACTAGTATAATTTTTTTGTTTATTTACACTAACAATTTATTTAAAATGTTATTAGGTTTGTAAAAATTTGCAAACACATATTTATTGTTTTGTTCTTCAAATTATTTTTAATTTTATTTGTAATAATATCACTTGGTATTATAATAAAATTACAATTAATGATTTTGTCTTAAAAGAACATAGTACAAAGACAGTACTACTCGTATTGTCAAATTAAGGAAAATTTTTTTTGAATATTTAATAATTATTCAAATAATGTGTTATTAAAATAATGACAATATTAACAACCACCAACGATTTTAAACTTGAGGAATATATTTAATAATAATGAAAAAAAAAAGTTATTCAAATATAATGTATTGTTTGATTTACAGCATAATAACTGTACCTTTAAATGATATTTTTCTACTTAATAGAACCTTTACCTTTAACATGCCTTGTTGAACACCTTCACCTCCAACATCTCTTAATTGATGTATTCCAGGTACTGCACCAATTTTATCAATTTCATCCAAAAACACAATTCCTGAAAATATTTAAAATTTAAAAATCTTACTAATATTTTAGTTTTTAGCATGATATTATTTATTAACATAATAATACCAGTTTGAGCTTTTTCAACATCATAATTTGCTGCTTGTAAAAGTTTTCCAATCACACTTTCAATATCTTCACCAACATAACCAGCTTGTGTTAAATTTGTACAGTCACAAATTGCAAATGGTACATCCAGTTGTCTGGCAATAGTTTGGGCCAATAATGTTTTGCCTATAATAATAAATATATATATAATCAATTGTTTAATTAATAAGAAAATATTTAATATCTATTTTGTTAAGATCAACAGATTTTCTTTAAATAATAAAGTACAACCTATATTTAATAGCAAAGTCAAAAGTATCTACAAGGGTGGATAAATTTGTTCTTTTCCTAATCAACATAAATCATTGGGCTTATTATTTAATAATTGAAGACATTTGAAATTATTAATTTTTGATGCTTATTAATTAAATTTTAGGTTTACTTACTGCCATACTCCCCCTACCTAACTATTAAAAATCCTAACTGAAATAATGTCCATATGAAATAAAAATATTATAGAATAAAAAAAAAAATTATACTAAATTACCACATCCAGTAGGCCCTAGTAGTATGATATTGCTTTTTTCTAAAAGTGTATCTTGAAGTAAAAAAGAAAATTTATCATCTGCATCATTTTTGTTTGAACCTTCTGTTTGTGACATTCCAAGTGAATGATTAACAGAAAAATGTTCTAGAAATTAACAATAAAAATAATAAATAACAGTAAAAATTAACTTATGATAATAAGTTATTACTTATAAATAATTATTAACAATAAATAAAAAGCATTCATATATTATAGTTTGAAGATATGTTATTCAAGCTAATACTTAAAATAATTTTAAAAATGTCCAGAAAACAAAGAGAAATTATAACTAATTAATTAAAATATGAAGTAAATTTTCAATAATAAATAAAATTCTCCATAAATAATTTTTTTATTATCCAGTAATATTATTTTTTAATAATATAATAATACTTTAAGGTTGAATTATTTTATTTAAATTTAATTAATAGAAAATAAATAAATATTAAATGATATTGATTGATAATCAATCATATTGTATAAATAAACTGTATAATCTCAGAAATAAAAAAAAAATATCAATATAATAATACCTCTGGAATTATGCATATTATCTAGTAACCGTTGGTCAATTAAATCATGTTTAGGTAATGACGTCATATTGTGAAGAATACGTTTACAATGATTGTATACTGCAACTGACAACACTTTTTTAGCTAACTTTTGTCCTATCACATATTTATTTAAATTTTCATAAATCTGAAAAAAAATTTAATTAATTAAATTTATATTCAAACTNAAAAAAAAAAAAATAAAAAAAAAAATAAACACATCATGGTAAAATTAATACCTTCTCAGCTTCGCATCGAAGCTAAAAATAAAAATTATAAAATGTTCAAGTTAGATACTTTGAAACTAACAATTGAAATAAATAACTATTGAAATTAACTACTAAAAAAAATTATCAGAACATCTTTACCCCACTGGCAACTGAGCCGTAATACTCTAAGAAACAGAATAATTAATGCAATGACAAATCTAGATCTATTTTAGGTATTAACTACCAAAAAAAGAAATAAGATTATGCATTGTTTATAGCTACGTTATCACTAATCACTAATGAATACTTAAATTCCTAAACAAAACATCAGTTATTAACTACATTTTTTAAACCTATCTATTATGAATTTATAAATACATTCATAATATAAAAAAATACATAATCATTTTTACTTCTTTTGGTATTGGAGGAGGTTGATATTTATTCTTTTCTTCACTAGTTACATCTTTTAAATTATTTTCTTCTGAAGATATAACTTTATAAATGTGAAAACACTTTTGGCATCTTAAAAATCGATTAGTAGCTGAAATAAATAATACATGTTTATAACAAAAGTTATATAGAATAATAAATGAAAACAGAAAATATACTCAGAAAAAATTCTAAATTTGAACTTGAATTTTTGCATTTTGGACATAATATGCCAGTGTGCTCTCCTTTCCTCCCTGACCCTGAATCGTCAATATTTCGTGAACAAGCAGATGAATGTATTTTTCTATGGTTAAGAATATTCTCTACTTGCTGACCATGGATCAAAAATTCTTGAAACACAAGGACAAGGTTAAAAAGAACTAGTCAAAATTACTAGTATAAAGACTTACTAAACTTACTAAAATTTCGAGATGAATTTAAAGAACTAATGTATAATTTGTAATGAACACAAGTTGAACATAAATACCGTAATTTAGACGTCATCATAGAAAACTATAACACAGTTGAAGAATAAAAATTATTAATTTGAAATTTAATACTAAAGAATTGTTTAATTGTTAAACAGTAATCAGTAAAAAGTTTTAAAAATATTTACAGATTAAGTGATTTGGTAAATAAATAAATAATTTTAAAGTAAAAAAAAATTACTTTTTTTTGTAAAATTCATGAGATACGTTAATGATTTGAACCTTCACACTTCCCAATTCATTACTAAACTGATCTTTACAATACGTATGTACTCCTATACTAAGCTGAACACCTTCGTTTTGTTTTTAATTTTTGTAAACAACTGATAATGATTTAAATGATAAAGGTCATCAAATCAGCTGTATCAAATTATTGATGTAAAGTTTAAATTGTTAAATATTTTTTATCAGAAATTATCTTAAAAATTGTTCTAAGAGTTTTTGTAAAATTATATACGATATTTTATTTTTTTTCCGTACATATATTATACTTCGTTTACTTTAATGCCATAATAATAATCTATATTATGGAGTAAAAAATTGTAGTATTTATAATAAATAAAAATGAATGAATAATTATGTTTAAAATCTGACTTTACTTAATAGTAAACTCGGACAAGAAGAAAAATTGCCATTAAAAGTATGCGTTATCAAACAGTTTTAAAGCAAAAAGAATATTTTGATTAAATTGGTTTGGTATATATAGGTATCAAAATTCTAACTTATAATTTAAGTAAAACATCCACCAATAAACAACATTCAAATTGTTTAAACTTTTAACTCTATATATATATATAGTGTTCCATAATATTTTAATAATTTGCCAGAAGTAAAGTATGAGAACTTGTCTGAACATCATGGGACACCTGTATACTTAAAATTTGAATGTTTTCATATTTTATACTTTTAATGTGTATATAAATTAAAGTCATATGCAATGCTGACTCTAGCTTTTACAGGAAAAAAGTTTCATCCAGTGTTCTATTTGAAGAGACTAGCTAGTAGGTTGTATTACACATTATATAGTATGTAATACAAAATCAGATGTGATTATTTTTTAATTTTTACACTCTTAAGCAATTCAATTTAAACTCACATTTAAGAATTCAATTTGGTTAGAGTTAATTTTAAGTATACAAAAATATTATTTGAACTTTTTTTTTTTTTTTAATTGATACCAACTAGCACATTCTTAAATGTTGTTCTGTACACACAAGTATAAAGATGGGTCACTTCTTTTTTATACATGTTGCTAATCATAGATGAACACAGCAATCAGCAGTCAAATTTTGTCTTAGTTATATCATAGATTAACATTTACATTTTTGAATTCTTATAATTATAATTTGTGACATTAAACTCAAAATTATGTAATGTGAAAATTAAATACAATTTATCTTCTTACTATAATTTAATTTATATAAACTTATTCTTTTAAACATTTTTAGAAGATTATTTTAACAAAATTATTTGAACTGGTCCAAACCCCTAAATTTAAGAGATTAATAAGCTTTGACAGATAATTATATTGGCAGGTATAATTTTGTATCATTGTAGCAGCTAAAACCACTATGTCATATTTTGGTGATTTATTCATGTTTTTTAAAGTTTATAATAAACCTTTTTTTTTTTATCAAATATGGTATGTGCACCTACTAGTAAATCTGTCGTAGGAGGTACGAAACTGTTAAATCAGTTAGAATTTTTAGTTCAAATTATTTATAAAATGCATTTTTAAGGCTTCCTAGATTTAGAAAATGTTTCCTGAAATGATGCAGAATTACAATTAGAAATTAGAAAGGCAAATAGAAAGCCACCTTCTCTATAAATGGAATTATTAATTAAACCCCCCCAACAAAAAGTTGGGGGGGGGGTTAATTGAATTTCACCTCTTAAAAATATTTCTAAGTAAAAATATTTGTAATTTACAAAAATTTTGGGGTACAAAGGGCTCTCTTGATTTCTTTAGAGTGCTCTTATACACTCACTCAATAAAATCTGAGTTGCACACTTCAATTTTTTTAGATTCTCAAGTTTTAACAAAAATTACATCACTGACCACTTGATAATAACTTTTAAAGAATTAAAATTTCGATTTTTATGTCTTCTATCGTATAAAATTAGAAATCATTAATACTTTAAATTTTACTTTAATAAAACTAATAATTATAATTACCATTAATTATTAACAATCATTTTTTTTTTTAATAATTATACTCTACAAAAATGCAAAATATAAAAAAATATATATTTGTAAATTTTTTATTAATTTTACAAATATAATAAAATAATAAATTTTATTATTTTTACACTTAGCTGTATATAATTTATGGTATATATTGTATAGTTATAAAATACAACAATAACAAATTATCAGTATAATTAATATAAAATAAAATATTATATTAGCCAAAAAAATAAATGAAAAATTGATTAATAATAAATAATATATAAAGTAGTATTTTGCACTACTTAATAAAGCAGTAGTAAATGGCATTATAAAAATAAAAGTATCACAGTTTTCAATAATATATTTAATAATATTTTGACTTAAATTAATTAATTAATTAATCACAAGATTGTGACTAAATTATCCATTGTTTTTTTAATAAATATAAATTAATGTATAAATTAATGGTTACCACAAAATTAAGAAACAATAATAAAACATAATTTAAAACATTTGTTTTTCTACAGAATTATTAGATTGATGTTGTATAGAGTTAAGAATCAGAAAAAAGTATGAAATAAGAATAACTTTATAGTGTTCTTAATTTTAAAAAATACAAAATTTATGGTATCAATAATGTTATTTAATAAGGAGAGAAGTCTCTTTTTAACAATGGTGGAGGCACATTACTTGTCGTTGTGTCGGATCTCCCTTCTGTTAAGTATCCACCTGTACTTTGAACTCCTAAAAAATAAAATTTTTATACTCAACAATTTTAAAAAGAATTTTAAAGTTCATAATACAGTTGAAAATTATGTAATGGTTGTTGTTAAGAAACATCATATTTACCTAAAACATTTAATAATTGTAAAGTAAAATAATATATCATTAGATATTTTTTTTGTCTTATAATTAAGGCTTAAAATTCTTACAATAGAAAGGATTAATAAATTTTTGTAAGGCCAAATTATATAAATTGGATTACAAACTACCATATTCTGAGAATTAAAAAATAAAAATAATGTTTACTGCTTAATATTGTTTATTATTATTTTTTTTTGATTACCAGATAACATTAAAAATAAAGCATTTAATTAAAAAAAACAATGCCAGTGGTGATTATTTAAATGTTTTTTAATAGGGGATTTGTAGAGACAACTAGAATAACATTTTTAAGTAAGCTTTATGTATTTTTCCCTTCCTTGAAGTATTTTTATAAAACAAATATGATATTTAAATTTTTAGGGGAGCTCATCCATTAATTAAAAAAAAGGAGACTAAGTACCTAATTATATCTATGAGAGGTTTATACATAAGAAAGTTGTTTAATACCCCCACCAAGTACATTTTATTTCTTCATATTTCTTTTTGTAATTTGAAATATGTATGGATTTTTCGATTACACTGTGCCGATAATTTTATGTAATTGCATCTAAAATATTTTTTTTGGGTGGAATTTTTTAAATATATATACACTAAAATATATACACTAGAAAACTCATGGGTGAAATTTCAAAAAAAATTAATTGGGCACACAATTACTCTGGATGTTTTGATAGGGATTGACCCTGAATATGAATAATATAATAATTTGAATGTAAAAGAACTTGTTAGCTAATTCAGTAAATTTTTATATCACTATAAACTTACCCATCAAATAAGGAACAGATGGAGAATTAGATATGAAAAGATCATGATTTTGATCTTTATAAGCTGACCAAGCTGGAAGTTTATTTAACTGTGCTTGTACTAAACTTCCATATGATATATTCATAGACATAGTTTTTAATGCTTTCACTATTTGTGCTTTAGCTCTAGTATTCCCATCAATACCATCTAACCTACCATCTAATAATCCAACTAAAAATGTTATTAAATCTGCATCTAAAGCCTAAAAAATAATAAATATATTTATGAATAATTTTAATAGCCAACAAATATATGGAAAGTGTTAGTGAATATGAGCTTAAATCAATTCATGATATTTTTTATTGTAAAAATTTGTTTTATTATTTTAATAATTAAAGTAGATAGCTTTTTATAATTATTTCCTTTAGTACATTACTGTTCAATCTGGTAAAAATATATAATTTTTTTTGGTTTCCTGAAATGGTTCAAAAAGTAACTTACACTCTTCTCCACCAAAACCACCCAAATAAAATATCAAATTTTTGTACTTGTTTTACGAGGTAGTCTTTTCTAGCAGCAAACATTCTACTTAGGGTTTCAGATGATACACAAACTAAATTGGAATGAACTTGCATGGCTTTTTTTATTGGAGCTATGCATTCAATTTGTGATATACATCCAACACATATCTAAAAGAAAATACATTTTTTTAAAATTTTTAAATTTATAGTACGTAACATAAGCTTTAATTTAACATATGTTTAAAGGACACAGTATTTCGGGTATATTTTCAAAAGTTAAGTTTTCCTTGTGGACCATTAATGGTAAGATGATTTTCAAAAAAAATATATCCAAAGAAAAGGAAGTACTTAAGATATTTATATATAAAAAAAAAACCCAGAACGGTGGGGTCGCGGCATAGTTGGGTCCAGTATAGATTTAATTTGACAGTGATTAAAATTACTATCATAAAAAACGCTTCGATGCAAAGCTGTAGATAGTGTTTAATTTTTAAAAATTTAATGGATTATTCCAAGAGCAAATGATCTCCTATTTCCTTATTTATATTCGATTACATAATTTATGATTTATAATTGTAATATATGAATACATATTAAATAATTTACTATTGACTATATAACTTATTGAGGTATTATATAAAAAATATAATTATAGAAAAGTGGTATTTTTTCATAAATAAATAGTAAGTAGTTTTTTTATTTATAAAAATAACATTGTGAAAAATTATCTTAAATTATCTCTTTGATTTTTAAATTTTACCATTTTATAAGAATTATTATTAATATTGATTCTTATGGTAATAATACATTTTAAACGGAGTTTAAAAATAAGGTTTTAAAACAAATGTAATATTATTTAAGTATGTCGTAATATTTTCTATAACCATTAAAAAAAAAAATTATATTTTTTTTCCCAAAATTGACAAGTATTTTCTTTTTCTATTACTCTAAATATTAATTATTTACATAGGTATAATTATTTTATTTAAAAGTATAAAAATTTATCGTGGGATTATTATTTAATTTTAGTTTAGGCCAATAGTTATTTTTATTTATAATTAAACATACAGAAATCCGTTTCTAAGTAACAAAATTTCTATATGCTTAAATCAAATAAATAGTTTTCTCTTCAGGAGGCGATTTGACGTGAACGAAGAAAGTTTAAGTATTTTTTCACACAATGACACCTCCAACCGAACATAACGAAAAAGCTATAGCGTTCTCTAAAAAGTTTGTACTTAGTACAAATTGGCGAATGCCGCGCTCTAGTAGTATGTTTACAAAGCCTTCTTGGCAATTACACAAGTTTCAAGAACTGAAATTAGAGTTGAATTTTGTTAAGCACAAACTGGATAACTTCAACAGCGAAACATGGCATGCACATACAACCAAAATGAATCCTGCTGGATTAGTCATTGGTCATCTTAAGAAAAATATACGTCCTGATTTTTTGACTCAAGCTTGGTGTAAGTTCTATGAAATCTTAGGCAATTCTACTTTGATTACTCAAGAACCTACATCCAAAGCTAATTTCAACTCTGTACATCTCTGTGAAGCTCCCGGAGCATTTATTTCTGCGCTGAATCATTACATATCACTAAATCATCGTAATTTAAATTTCGATTGGTTGGCCATGACACTTAACCCGTACCATGAATCCAATGGCCAACCTGAAATTATTACTGATGACCGCTTAATATTAAACACATTAGACAAATGGGAATTCGGTCCGGACTATACTGGTGACATATTTCAACCGAAGTATCACGAACACTTATTGCAGACGGTTTCTAAAAGATTTATAGACGGCGTAAGTTTGGTAACGGCCGATGGAAGTATAGATTGTCAAAATAATCCAAATGAACAAGAATGTACTGTCATGCGTTTACATAATTATGAGGTAATGGTAGGTTTGAACATATTAAAAGACAGAGGATCATTTGTATTAAAAACGTTTACGATATTCGAATGTAACACAATTTGTAGAATATATTTGCTTTGTTGTCTATTTAAATCTGTCGAAATTCAAAAACCAGCCACCAGTAAGTCCGGAAATTCAGAAACATATATCGTATGCAAAGATTACAAAGGTAGAAAATTTGCAGAGCCTTTCATTCAGTCGTTTTTTGAAAGTGAAAACCACGAAAACGCAATGTTTCCTCTTAGACAAATACCCAGGACTTTTATTAACGAAATATTCAAGTGTTCAAGTTATTTTTCCAACTTACAAATAAGAACTATCGAGAGAAACATTAGGTCGTGGTTTTTAAAGGCCGAGTATTATAATGAAATGAAGGAAATTCAAAGTTATGTGTGCAAAGAGTTTATCAAAAGGTACAATTTAAAACCGATTCGTGAAGACCAAACTCTTATATCAAAAAACGTATCCAAAAAGTATAATAAGAAGAAATTTGACGTCTCGTACGCGGAAAAGATGAGCCGTCGAGACTTAAGCCTTAGAGAAGAAGCTGAAATATTGTACAAGGACATGATAAAATTTTGTAATTTAGAAAATAATATATGGAATAAAAAATTAACTGTACGATGTAAAAAATCTAATATTGATGTGTCACAGGTAAAATTTTGTATGGGAAAGCCAGTAACGAAAGTACGTGGATCAAAATTTTGCGATGGGTCGTTACTTGAGTGTAGAAATAAGATAATAGATAAATTTCCTTACGTCGAAAGAACTGCTGATAAAAAAACTCGATCCTCGTATTTTAAATCTCAATTGAAAAACTGTAAATCAGATACAACAGTTTGTGATTTGACAGATGTTTATTTGGAAAATTGTATAAACAATGTCAAGTTACAATACAATTGCTTGCATTCCATCTTAGATTCATTGAAGCACACTACGAACGATATGTTACTAATTGGATATCCACTGCACACTCAAATAGCCATCGGATGTCTTTTTGCAATGACTGGTATGTTTGAGTCGTACGCAATTTTGAAACCGGATCGTAATTGCGGCCACGCTTTTGCATTTTTTGGCCTCCAGAGAAACAATAGGTGGCTTGATATTTTATACAAAGTCCTAGACAATATTTTGCCCACCTCTGATGATTACACAGATTCTGACAAAGCCTTAATCTCACTGCTTCCAATACAACATCTCATAGAACAAAAATCTTATCATGAAATTGTTGAACTTAATAACTTGTGTCTATTATATGAGGTCGAACCAATTCTATTGGACTGTCTTCGACCATAGATGTTTTCTTCATACTTATGATATGCTATTACAATTTTAATCTCAACACCAATAGCGACTTCTGTGCCGATTGTGTCTTCATCTGTTTTTTGACATATGTCTGTATATTTTACCTTATAACTTTTATGCTTGCCGTAGTCACTGTACACATTGTAATTTATTATTGCATTGTAATCTATTATCGTACATACTGTCGGATGTCTTCTTTTTGTTGAAAGAAAATTATTTATGTCAAGATTTGCTTTTGTATAAAGTGAATTAATAACTTATTATTACATTTTATGTATTTTGTACTTTAATTTTTTTTTATTTTTTACTTTGTATTTTTCAATTTTTGTTTTTTTTACTCATATTAATGAGCTAATTTACAGATTTTTTCGTTGCCTTATAAAAAATTATTTTTGAGTATATAATTTACATTTATTTCAATATTGTTTTAACATTATTTCATGTAATTTAGTTTAACATTTTTTTTTTGTTAACTTAAAATGATTTTTTTTAGTTGTATACTTTATGATAAATGTATTAATGATTTTATTTGTACTGAATATTTATAAATATTGAATATTATAACTGTAAAATTCTAATCGAATTTTAGCAAATATAATAACGATATTTTTTGTAATTCGTGTGTTCAATTTAATATTTTTATTTATCGTTACTTTAACAGTGACAATTTGTACTTTCTAATTATTAATTATTATTTGATAATATTGAAATAATTTTGATATCATTATATCGAATAAAAAAGGTATATAAATAGCATTTAAAAAAAAAAATTGTATTGATCCATACATTTTTCAAAAAGTAATATTTCATGTGTTTATGAAAAAAATTGATATTGATTTGGTCTATTTTAAAAAAGTTATGGCATTTTTAAGTAAAAAAAACGGTAGCACAGTGGGGTCGTGGCATAGTTGGATCCAGTATAGATAAAATCTGACAGTGATTAAAATCACTATCATAAAAAACGCTTCGATGCAAATCTGTAGATAGTGTTTAATTAAAAAAAAAAAAATTGTTAAAATAGCATATTTTTGAATATGGTAGTCATTTGCGCATAGAAGATAGGTCGTCGGGACAAATTTTTTTTTTTCATTTTATAGTACATAAAATAAGTTTTAATTTGATATGTGTTTAAAGGACGCAATATTTCCGGACACATTTTCAAAAATTAAGTTGAAAAAGTTATTTTTTGTAAAAAAGTTACTATTTTAAATTCCCCCAGTGAGCAGAATAAGTGTTAGATTTTCAAAAAAAATTATATCTAAGGTTTCAATACAAAAAAATATTATTTTTATTTGTTCATTTTTGAAAAAGTTATGGAAGTTTTAAGTACAAAAAACATCCCGATAAAAGGTAATTTTTATCGCAAACATTACATTTTTTTTTAATTTTCGACAGCCATTTGCGCATAGAAGATAGGTCGTCGGGACAAATTTTTTTTTTTCATTTGATAGTATATAACATAACCTTTGATTTGATATATGTTTAAAGGACGCAGTATTTCCGGAACATTTTCAAAAATTAAGTTGAAAAAGTTATTTTTTGTAAAAAAGTTACTATTTTAAATTCCCCCAGTGAGCAGAATAAGTGTTAGATTTTCAAAAAAAATTATATCAAATGAAAGGGAAATATCTAAGGTTTCAATACAAAAAAATATTATTTTTATTTGTTCATTTTTGAAAAAGTTATGGAAGTTTTAAGTACAAAAAACATCCCGATAAAAGGTAATTTTTATCGCAAACATTACATTTTTTTTTAATTTTCGACAGCCATTTGCACATAGAAGATAAGATGTCGGGACAAATTTTTTTTTTTCATTTGATAGTACATAAAATAAGCTTTAATTTGATATATGTTTAAAGGACGCAGTATTTCCGGAACATTTTCAAAAGTTCAGTTGAAAACGATCTATGTTTTTTACAATATTTCAAGTTTTGAACGCCCCCTATATACGGGGAAATTGTTCAATTTTAATAAAAAGTATGTCAAATGAAAGATGTACTTATAATGTATTTAGAAAAAAAAAATTTGTGCTGATATATACATTTTTCAAAAAGTTATAGCATTTTTAAGTTGAAAATTTAAAATCGAAAATCGAAAATTTTAACACAAAAATAGTGTTTTTTTAACTACGGCAGCCGTTTAAATGTAGAAGAAAAAGTGTCGGGACAAATTTTTTTTTTTATTTTATAGTACATAAAATAAGCTTTAATTTGATATATGTTTGAAGGACGCAGTATTTCTGGAACATTTTCAAAAATTAAGTTGAAAAAGTTAATTTTTGTAAAAAAGTTACTATTTTAAATTCCCCCAGTGAGCAGGTTAAGTGATAGATTTTCAAAAAAACTATACCAAATGAAAGGTAGATNAAAATGGGAAACAAAAAAAAAAAAAAAAAAAAAAAAAAAAAAACACATCATAGTAAAATTAATACCTTCTCCGCTTCGCATCGAAGCTAATATTTCGATTCACTCATTTTTAATAAAGTAATTGTAGTCTTAGAAAAAAATGTCAAAATTTACTGATTTTAAAAATCAAAACTTTTTTGTGAATTTCCCCTATTTAAAGAGAATGTGTAAAATTTTTTTCAATTTACAAGGGCAATCTCTTCAACTAAATACGATTCGTGATCTTTGACGTATCATTGAAAGAAATTGGTCCAATAAGAGCTGAGAAAAGCCGAGTGGTAAGCAATTTCAATTGTGTTTGAGCTGTTGTTGCATAAAGTGTCGCATAAATATATAATTATTAATAATTATTAATGCACTAATCATTTAATTTCTTTATACTTCATTTGATAATAATTGTAATATCTAGAACTTAAATGATATTATTGTAGTTATTTGTCAAATTAAGTGCTACTTTGATTCCTATTACAACCTACACTCCACTCCAACACATTACCGTGTGTTATTCTAGGTGGGGCACAACAGGACTACCCTATCAAGTTACTCTATTTTCTAAACTAGTTTAATATTTGTTAGCCCTAAAATAATAATTTTTTTTTTTTATAGTATATAAATAAAAATAATTTAAGAACTTTTTTTTATTATAATAAATTAGGATACCTCATTTAATGAAAGCTGATGTAATATCATAAGAACTGATCTTGGAACATCGGGATTCGATAATAATGATAACTGAAAACAAAGTTTAGGAATATGGCCTAATGCTGGAATTTGGTCACTAAGATGTGGTTGTGCTTCCAAGAGTTTCACAATTGAAGTTGTTACGATTTCCAACTGATCATTCTAAAAAAAAAAAAATTATCAGCACAACTATATTCATGAAGGAAAATACTATAAAAAAATAAGTAATATAAAATATATTTAATATGATACAGTTAAATCATACTTTTTCTTTTGTCATTGAACTTATACAAGTATCCAAAAGTTCTGATAAGAATTCTTTAGGTCTTCTTACATTCCAACCTGGATTATTATTAAAAAGTCTTAGATACACTCCAGCAACAATTGTTTCATTTGATGGTGATGATACAAGTAGACTAGTATCTGGTAGTTTGATAGCACTTTTAGGATTTTTTTTTATTATAATGTAATGTCTAGAATTAATGTAAAGCATGAATTATTTATTTAAAAATACATAAATATTATTTTAATTATTAAACCAGTCATTAACAACTGTTATACCAACAGTAGGTGTAAACATTCTTAAAATAGGTATTGTACCATAATTTAATAGCTAGCTTGGATGTCTTATTGCTGTATTAATTATATAATATGTAGACCTATTTTTTTGCCAATTTTGATATTTCGAAAAATAAGGTCTTTTGATAAAATATTGTAAAATTATATAAATATCCTAGAGCTGAAGAGATCATGTAATATAACCTATGATGAGAGATGAAATAATACTATGGACAGAAATAAGATCAATTAAAAATTAAATAATAAAGTATTAGAGATCACAGTGGATTTATAAAAATAAGGTTATATTTTTATGAAAGGTTCCTTATACCAAATACATTAAGAACATATCATTTCTCAAACTTAAATTCAAATATCTCAGATCAAATTTATGTTACTTTGATCCCTTCAGCTCTATATGCCATGAATAGGATAACTACTCTTTTGATATCCTATTGATGCTTCCAAAAATAAATTTTCTTGTTTTTTCATTCCACACAAGTTCAGGATTTTCTTGATCATTGTCTAATAAATGTACTGTAGATGATGGTAAATCTCGCATTGTGTCTATAATTGCTAATGGTAAAATTTGAGCTAATGCCAAACGTAATCTTGGGCCACTTAGTTTTTCCGTCATTAAACGACTTAGAAGTATAGCACTTCTATCTCTTAAGCCTGAATCATTATCACCATTACATAACAAATCAACAATAAATAAGTATCCTCCTTTATTTAAAATATCTTTCACTACTGTAGACGATGTAGACAAAGTTATTAAAATATCCAAGATTATTAATCTGTCTGATGGAACCAAATAAAGACAAATAAGCAAATAAACAACTACTCCTGAATTTGCAATATCTGTTACACATTCATTATTTTTAGTTATTGTTGATATTATATTCAAAACACAATTTTGAACTGAAGCACTATCTACATTTAGCAAGTTGAATATTAAATCAAAATAACCGATACAGTTCACTTCTAAATCTAAAATATTACCAAAATTTAGTACAATACAGGTATAAATACATAAAAAAAAATAATGTCCATCAACTAACTTGGATTATTAAGAACTAAATTATTTAAGGCAATTAACACCATTTTAAAATGAATCATTTTATTTTCAGCTAAGATGTTGTTTAAAGGATTATTTGCTTTGATGTATACTAAGAGATCAGTTAAAAATTTTTTTGAATTCTGAAAATTATAAATAAAATGTCTGGTCAATAATTTTTAATAAATGTTTAATTATAAAATAATTGAAAAGCTCAATTTTTTACCTTAATATTAAAATGAGGTTGTTCATTAAAGACTCTGATAAATATATTTCCAACAATTAATTCATTTTGATGACTAGAAAATGTTAAACCAACTTTTTCTAAATTAATTATTTCTTTATTATTACACATTGTATCTAAAAAATCATTAAGTTCTGCTCTTGTACTATTATCCCAGACCAGATATGGTGTCTCACAATTGCTACCAAGTGTTTTTAAAAGCTAAAATGCAAATATTTAAATTAAATTAAAAAAATAGAAGTACCAAAATATAAAAATTGTTACATTACATGAAATTAACATAATATGAAATTAAATTATAGAATGTATTTTAAAAATGGATATTTAATAATTTACCTCATGAGGATTTTCATCAGAAAGTTGTTCAGCAATATATGGCGTAAGAAGCTTTTCAAATATAGACTTAGCAATGGTATTTTCTGGAGTAGCTAAATCACCATTGTAATAACCACCTAGTCTAGCACAAGCTTGAACTGACAATTTGGCTAAACTATTTAGTACTTCCTAAAATTAAAATTAAAATTTAATTAATTGAGTATAACAAACAACTTAATTTAATGCATGAAATACAGAGTATCTGAGATCTAAATGACAACATTTATAACTTAGGATAATAACTTAAGTCCACAAAAAATTTCAAAAAATTAATAATTACTTTTTTTAAATAATTATTATCTTTACAGGTACATTTAAATTACATTTTTTTTATTAATTGATAAAAAAAAAAAATTTCTTTTTTATAATTTCAAAATAGACATTTTATAGCCTTTCTTTATCATTTTAATAAATCAATAATAACTTTAGGGCAAGTACTTATTGAGATATAAGAATTTTAATACATTGAGTGAGTATTAACGTATAATGTATGTTTATAAATATAAATTAGTATACATCATCCTATACATGCTACACACCCATTCTATGTATTAAAATACTAGTAACTCAATAAGTATTTGCCCTAAAATTGTCATTAGTCTTTCAATATTTTTTGTAAAAAAAGTACTAGAAATAATTATTTTGAAAAAAAAAGAAGAGTTATATTTATTTTAAAAAACAAATAATATAAAATATACTTGAACATAGTCTAAGAAAGCAATAATTATTTTTAAATAATTTTTGTAATAATATATATCAACACAATTTTTTTCAGAAATACTTCACATGTACACTTTTATTATATATGCACTTTTTTCAATAATTCTATTTACTGAAAGGTGGATTTTATAAAGTGATTTGTGAATAGCAATAACACTTTTAATTTAACTAAATTTAAATATTTACCTGATTGTTTGCTTCTTCTGAACGCTCAACACCACATTCTTCTAATGTATAATCATATAAAAACATATAAGATAGTAAATACCACACAGCCCCTTTTTCTAAAAAGCTACTCTGAAGAATAGAATTTGAGGCCATAGCATAAATACACTCCACAGCATCACAACATAACTTTGATAAATTCTATAAATAAATATTAATGAATTTATTTACAAGAATAATAAAAAACATTTAGGATATTGAAGATCTTTAGCTTATGTAAGTTTAAATTTAAACCAAACAATACACAAAATATGACTGAAAAAACAATTCTACAATTTTGGAAAATAGCTAATTTATATAATGTAATGTAAATACTTTCAGATGTCAAAGATCTTAAATCAAGGCGTATATTTTATATAAAAACAAAATTATTCAAATATATTATATAATTGATTAATTTACAGAAAAATAACTTCAAATTATGTTTTTCTATTTACTAGAAGCCTTTACCTTTAACATGTCATGTACTTTGGTTATTAGGAGAATATAATGAAGTACGAGGTACAAACTAAGTGCAAGACACAAGTACTTCAAAGAGTGAATGGGGTAGCTGAGTATCCAATCGAACCCAATAACTACATATTAAGGCACAATGCGTTCTGACTGAGCTAACAAGGCGGCCTCAAAAAGAGGTGGTTTACAACCCCTTTATTATTTCGAATAATTACCTTAAAAAATAATATTCTAGTAATATCATTAACAAGTATTTCCATTTGAGAAAATGTATCACGACACATGGCAAATTGAGAGGCTACTTTGAAACATCGAGTGCAATTAATACAAACAGCTACTGACATTTCTGTTTGCCTTGATGACTTATTAAGAACTGAAACACATCTAGAATATGCTCCTAATAAATCCTATAAATGAACATAGTAAATTTTATTTAAAAATAGCTTAATTTTTTTTATATTTTAAAATAAATATTATCTAATTATAAAATTTTAATTTATTAGATTATTTAATTTCAATACCCTGTAATAAGTTTTTCTTTTGGAATAGAACCCCTTATGTTTATTCATAGTAGTATATTGTATATATTTCTTTCAATTATAATAATAATGAATATTTATAATTTTACTATGGATTAATTAGATATTATATGATTATTCCTCACAATAAATAAATAAATTCCTAATAATCTAAAATTACATGTATTTTGGACACTTATCTTTTTGTATTAGAACAGTCTAATGAGTTGTAAATGGATAAAAATTCTACATCTTATAGTAACATACCGAAGTTTTAATTAAAAAATAATAAGAAATTAAAATTAATTTTAATTTTAAATTTAGTCAAGCTGGACTACCTCAATGCAATTTCAAAAATTAGGGTTTGTAAATCATTAGTATAGACCCACTATATTTAAAATAATAATTATTTCTGGGTCTATCATTGTCAATTTAATTTTGAATTTATATCTAAAATGGGCTTGAGCTTTGATCCAAACAAGACTAAACTGATCTAAGCAAGGATTACATAAATATCACTTAAGACAAAATAAATATTAAATATTTTCAAATATCCTTTAACTTACAACAAATCCATGCTCTCGATTAAGTTCTTCCGCATTTAATGCAGAGCATTTTACTGTATGGTATGTTAACTCACTAGCAGCTGCTAATAACATATTACCTTTGGAAAATAATTGCTCATCACTAGCTTCTAATCTAATGGTTTTAACTAATTGTTTGTATCCAGCATATTTATAGCTTTCAAGTTCTAAAAAATACATAGATTATTAAACAAATATAAATTATAAAGTTTAATAAAATTAATTAAGTGTTGACTAACGTTTTGAATAACGATCAAATAAAATACTTTGAGTTTGAAGTATCAAAAGAATATTATTAGGATTAGGTCCATTGTGCCCCCATGAGCTTCTACTACAAAGAAAATCATATGCTCTGTTGGCAGCTACAAATATTTCCTTAAAAAGAAATTATTTATTATTAGAGTAAGATTGAATACAATAATTAATGTCTTACTCGTCCTTTAGGATTTTTATCAGGATGATTCACTTGCGCTATTCTATAATATGCTTTTCTAGTAGTTGTTTCATCATACTGACATCCTCGCTCTAATCCTAAAGATTCAAAAGCGTCATCTACAGTCATTATGGGAGGTTTTTTCTCAACTTCATTTTTCCATGCTTCAAGCACATCTTTTAATAGAGCTATCTATTAACATAAATTAGTGTTTAAAAGCAAATTATAATAGTTCGATTTGTAGATTAAAATATAAGCTTACAGGATCATTAATTGGCCAATTAGGAAATCTTTGTACATCACACAAATGTCGTAAATAAAAAATATTACAAAATAATTCAGATTGTAATTGAGGATACCGCACAGCTGGTATAGCACAATACTGATAGATTGCTCTGTTATTTCCTCTAAGTTTAGGTGTAAAATCAGCAATATGACCAGCAATCTTTTCAATTAACAATCGTCTCATTTCAGCATTCCATATTGCTTCAGGAGTATCAAATTCTCCTAGAAAAATTTGAGCAAATTTTTCAGGGCCATGGTTTTCTAAATAATATACCATAGCTTCTGGTAATAATGGTCCAAGAACACTTCTTTGCATTAATTCTCCAATTTGTATCTAAAATTTTTAATAAATTGGTTTTTTTTTCTTTTTTTTTTTTTACAGTTTTTATATTAATATAATGGGTTCATTATTTTTAATTTTATTATTTAATATATGTTGAAAATGGAAAAAATATATTCACTCACTTCTTCACTTCGAAAAGCTTGACATGTATGAGTAAGACGGAAAAATCGTGCAATTGGTAGTATATTGGATCCTGTATACATAAGTAAGAAAAAAAATACACCAGTCATATATAATTTCGCAGCATTAGGGTTGTCAGATGCTATTTCACAAAGTAATGCTGCAACTTTTTCAACAAGAATAGGATCAAATGTTAATAACAATTGAACTATATGTGGTAGATTAATTTGATCAGCTAATACTCTTCTAATACGTGCTATTGGCCATATGATTGCACCATCATTATCCCTAAGAAATATTTAAATTAAAATAAATAAATATATAATTTTCCCAACAAATTTATGTAAAAAAAAAAAAAACACATCATAGTAAAATTAATATTTTCTCAGCTTTGCATCGAAGCTAATAAAAATTATGGTATTAAATCAAAGATTTCAAATATTATTATTATTATATAAACAAATAATAAAAATTACTAATAAAACATAATATTTAAAAAATATATTTCAGAACTTGAATTTTACCTGCTTGGATAATATTGGCACATTTTTATCAACATTGATAAAATTAAAGATGCCAAATCACTTTCATTCATATAACCTTGATCTTTAGCTATTAAAGTCCACTTAAATTGACACAATTTATGTAGAGGTTTCCAACCTTCTAAACCTTGGGTCCAGCATTTTGTAATAGGCTTAATAACACCATTTTTGTATAAATCTTGCATCTAAAATTTAATAAAATATTAAAATTTCATTTAATAATATTGTAATTTTTTTTATTTTAATACAATACCTCTTTAAATGTTAAAGGCCCATTTGTTTTGTCACTATTTCCACCAACACTGTAATACCATTGTTTTTCATTATCTTGTAACATATTATGTCCAGCTTCTATAACATTAGTTTGAGTAGGAACTACTGCTCTAGTTGTATGTAAATGAGCTAGTGTTAATAAGTCAACAAGAACTGGTACACCTTTACATTCTATGATATTTTTAACATTTTGTTTATTTAATATAAGTTTACTCAAAAATAGAAGTAACCGATCTCTTTCAAATTTCTCGACAGTCTAAAAATGTTTTTAAAAATTACACTATGATTAATAATGAAATTAGTTTCAAGTTTCTCTATATAAACATGTAACATATTAGCAGTTAATTTTACTGTTGTCTTAGAAAAACATTATAGTCACATATGTACTAAGAAAAAAGTTTATTTTTATTTTTATGAAATAATTTAGAAGATAAAACTTTTTTTTTTAATGTTATACTTTTTTTTATTTTTTTACAATTTTTAAGAATAAAAAAATAGCTCAGAATAGTTAGGACTCATTAAAGTAGTAATCCAAACAAATTAAATTCCAGTATAGATTGAAATTTAACAGTCATTAATATCACTAGCATTTTATTCTTTGAAGAGATTCTTTATAAAGAAAGATTAGAACAAAAAAATTGTTTAAATTTAGCAGCCCAATACATTAAGGAAAGTTGTCAGAACATTTTTTTTTTTAATCTTATAGTATATTTTAAAAGCTTTAATTTGGTTTAGAGTTATAGAATGCAGATGTTCCGGAACATTATCAAAATTTAAACAAAAATAAATTTTTTTAATGTATGTTCAAACATTTATTATATTCAAGGTTATAGTTAGATTTTTATATTATGCATATATAAAAAAGATAATTGTCTTAAAGAAAATTTCAGAGATTCAGGAATTTTTAAAATAGTTATATCAAAATGAAACAATTTGTTTATTTTAACAGTAATTTCCCTTCTTTTTATTTAGACGGCAAATTATTCAATGAAGAAAAATTGTCAGACATTTTTCCTTACTGTATCTTAAAAAAAGCTTTTTTGTTTATTTAGTTTTGAATAATGTAGATGTTTCAGTGATAGCTGATAGCTATCAACAAGATAAAATTTGTAATCATTTGACATATTGTTGAGCAAAATTGGTTCAGTAAAAGTAGAGTATTCATACAATGACACAGTAAAACCAATACTTTCTCAACTACACATCAAAACTAATATTAATTTATATTAACTACCACTTTCAATTAATTAAATGATAAATAATTTTTTGACAAAGCAAATATTTAACAATGAAAATTTCAGTCTTTATCTGGGCTACTTTTATCACATACAGTAAATACATTTGAAATATTACCTTTTCTAATTTTACTAGAATATATTTTGTGTCAGTAAAAGTTCCAATTTCTTTATAATACTGACCATAAATTACCGTCATTGCATGCAAACATAGGCACTTCATTTCTATTTTTAAAGCTAATAAAAATCGGTGATATAAATCATAAAAAAATCGAAATCTGAAAAAGTTATTATTAAAAAAAATTATTTATAAACAATTATAAAAATTCTTACGGATTTTTTATAGCAAACTCTGCATTATCATCTAAAAGTAATCTTAAATAATATCCATCAATACAAACTTCATCTTGTAAACTTGGATAAGTTACTTCAAATTCATCATGATTCCAAGCAATTAAACTATTAGTAGTTAATTGTCTGTCACAATTAAACATTTGAATTTCTTTTTTTAAAGTGTCATGAAGTTCTTCACGAGTCTACAAATTATTAAATTTATCAATACAAGATGTAAATAAACTTTTTTATTATTATAACCATGACTCGGAACTTAAGCATTTATAAAGTTCATTTTAATCAACATAAGTACATCAATGATAATAAATAATTATGTTAGTTTTTTTAACACTAAACAATGTATATTAATTAGAAAATTTTGTTTTGGGTGACTTAATAGGATTATTCTCTCCAGAACAAAAACTATTCTGTGATACTGTATACACTTATAATCGTTTTTTTTTTTTTTTTACATATTTGGGTGTCTCAGAGCTGGTTCAAATTTTATAAATACATAAATTTCTGAGCTTTTATTTTAATAATAAAAAAGGTTCTTAGTTTTTATTTTTTTATTATAATTTAAATAAAAGAAAGAATGTGTGTAAAAAAATTATTATTTTTAATAATAGATACACTAAAATGTTCCACAGGGGGACCCGCAAGAACCACAAACTTAACAACCTTGTGAACTTTATTTACAATCAGTGGGGGACGGGGTTGAAAAACGTACTACTGTTCTTGAAGAGTTATAGTTGATTAATTGGAACAAACATAACTACTTGCTAATAGCAAAAAAGCCCTTCTAACCTAGTCACATCCAGTGAAAGGGTTGTTAACTTGACCAAAGTAGTTAGCCAAAAGGAAAAATGATCTAGTGCCATAGAGTCTCAATACTATATTATATGAATATATTGTAATATTATATGAACTACTACATAAAAATTGTTACTACTTACAAAAATGTCTAAAATGAGTATTTTAAAAATTTTTAAACAATTTATTTTAAATATTTCCTAATGTTATTTTATTTTATCTGATGATTTTAATTTACCATCATCTTGATTAATATATTAATCATCTTGCTTAATTAATCAATTTTTATACCTTAATTTTTTACAATATCAAAAATGCAATTCTAGATTTTGTTATTTCTAATTTATTTGTTAATGATAATTTAGATTATTTTACTTTCATTTAAATCATATCATTAATAATTAAATTTCTAAGTCGTATAGTACATATACTACATTCCCTGTTTGGTTTAGCAAGAATTATAAAATGTAAGTATTAGTTATAAGTATACCTAATATGTCGGGAATTTTTTTAGGTATAACGGGCTGGCATAATAGGGGAGAAGATAACATTGTAGTGATTTGGTTGAGTTCTGGTTAGTAGTGTTCCTTTAGGATTGTTAGCCCAATAACCCCAATCGGTACTTTTGGCATTAAAATCAACTGTACATTATATACTTTATTTTTATTTGAATTATTTTGTATGTGGCATTAGTTATTTTAATGATGTTGAAAATCACGGTAAATTGTGCTACTTTTGTAGCTAGCTGAGTGGGTTCTTCCACAAAATGCGTATTTTGCTAATGTGTCTGAAAATTGTGAACAAATTGCAGAAATTTGTTAATCATTGCAACGTAAACTTGTTCTAATTTTTTACAAATTTTACATATACTTATATACATTTTATTTTTTATTAGCATTATATTATTTTATACATATATTATATTCATGTTTGTACACTGCAACTTCTTAAATAATATATATATATATATATTTTATTGTAAATCGGAATTTATTTCTATAATAAAAAATTATTATTACTATTAAGTATGTATGTTGTTATTTAAAAAAATAAAGTAAGCATGCAACCTTATTCATATAAGGGATGGATCTAAAAATTACTTAATAATTGATAAATAAAGAAGAATAGAAAACTAAAGTCAGAAAGAAATATTCTCAATATTTTTATTATTTTAGGAGATATTGAGTAGCTAATGTTAAAAAATGAGCTTGTATACCTAAAACAAATATGTATCAAATAGAGTTTCTTCAAAAATTATAATTATAAATGCATATAAATGTGTTTCCTAGTAATAACTTTTAGAGATAGAAGATATTAATATTAAGCTTAAAAAAAATATATTTGCATACACTTAAATTATTAAATATATAGTTTAGTATGTACAAGGTAAAACTTGAACTTAAATTAAAAAAACTATATATATACTATAATTACAATATATATTAAAATACCTGATGATTCCACAACAAACTTGGCGAAGAATGGTTTTGATTGAACTTAAAATAGAATAACTTCCAATTAGCAATACTTTTTATTCTTTCCCTACGTTTTCTTAAAACAATTGGTCTAGCTTGTAATTTATCTTCTTTTTTTTCTAAGCCTAATGAAGCACCCCAATGACCCAATGCTATTTCAACTTCTTTTTCGAATGTGCGAAACTTTCTTTCTAAAGCTACTAAATGTGGATTCCGCTGATTTTTTGCTGCATGATCTTGAGCTAGTTTAAGATTATCTCGGGTAATTAGAGGATCTTCATTTTCAACATAATCTACGGTTTCTTTTGATTCTAAAAATCCTATAAGACCTTTTGGCTACAAAAGAAAATGTATATTAAATGTTGTGCTTTTATGCAAACTAAATTTTACACATAATTTACCATTATCCGAGAAAGTAAATCCATAGCAATAGAGTTATTAGTAACCCAAAGACCAACTAAATGTCTAGACAATTGTCTATGAACTAACATTCGCCTATTATCATCACGTGTAAATAATGCAGTTAACAAATGATTAGGTAATGCTGCTTCAGCTAATGCTAACTCTTGCATACGAGATGAAATTTCCGAATCACCTTCTTCAATAATTGCTCTCATTACTAATCCAGCTCCTTTTACCACAGTTAATGAAGGATGCTAAAGAAATGGAATACATTATACTTTGATTATTTATATTCATTAGAACTATTTTAAACCAATTTTTTTAACAATGAAAAGTTTATCATTTAGTATCTTATGGCAAATATATGTTGGTTTATTGAAATTAATATATTTTAATTAGGATTAAAAATATATACAGTACAATAAGTATGTAAAATATAAATGTACATATTTAAAAGATATGTATCTATGATTAAGTATAACTAAGGAATATTGAAGTAATCTATGCTTCAAGAATTTTTTTATTAGCTTATTCAATTTCTATATGAAGAAAAAATTATCTTTTACAAAAAAAAAAAACCTATATGCGATATTATTAACTAGAAATGAATAAAAAGAAAAATTAATTTTATAATGGTTAGTATTTAATTAATTTTTGTGTCTCCTAAAAAATTGAAACTTTACAAAAAGGAAATGTTTTCTATTGACGACAATATAATATAAATCATTTAATAAAAGGTGTAGTATTAATTAAATTATTAAATAATTAGAATAATAATATTTGAGAGGAGGTAAATTATTCAAGTCTATTTATAAGAAAAATAATTTTTTTTTAATTTCCTCAACTTTTACTATTTATTTTTTTATTCTTTTCATTTTTTTTTTACCTTTTTAATTGATTTATGAAGCTTTATTTAGGCATTATTGTTTTATCTTATTTTAACCTGTTAGTCACACTATGTTTTTTTTTTTTTAATAAATATAAAGTATTACTAGTTAGTTAGTTATAATACACAAGTATTATATGGTATACAGCTTATAAAACTTATAGAACTAAGATTGAAAACATTGAATATAAGTTTACAAAATAATGAAAGTTACAATTAAAACCTCTTAAAAAATACAACCAATAATATCAATTTATTATCTCTAGAAAATCCTAGAAACTTAATGAACAACTAATTTGTTAACAAATTATTTAACTTATATAGTGATAATCTTAATAATATTGATAATATAATATCAATGATTGCTCTACATATTCTAATGCAATTAACAAAAATTCAAAATTTTCTTAACATCATCCCATCAAAAACAAATATTGATCAAGCAACTATATTTAATTTATTAGTCATTATATATGTCTACGACAAAACTTTAAGTATTGTAAAACCACAATTAAAAATGAGTATTTATTTATTATTAAAAAAAAGTACTTAAAAATTATGACATATTGACCTTCTTGATTTATTGACCTAATGAGCAAAATAAAAAACCTTATTAAAATTCATAAAAGGGCCCCCAAAAAACTTTCCTGCGTGGGGCTTTTAAGTCTCAAACCATCCCTGTTTCTATAAATTTAATAATTTAACCTTACCTGAAAAAGTTGAAATAAGTAACGTCCACGCTTAGCAACTAATGCTAATAATGTATCAAAATGTGTCCCATCAGTTGTTTCGCTGTAAGGAACACATAGAGCAAATGTAAGGACATCCAACATAGCTGAAACTACTAATGCTCCAGTACCTCGTTTCTTATAAATAAAAAAAAAGTTTGAAAGTTTTTTTTTAAATCTCAAAAATAAGTTCTCACACTTACTATATGTTCAATCCACATGTCAAGTAATGATTCTAAAAAACTTGGGGTAGCTAAAAGAGAAGATTTATTTAGTTGTTCTTGCCTAATATCACTGTCTCGATGCATAGGTTGCATAAGTGTGCAAATCATATCAAGAGCAGCATGAGTGATGGCTTCATTATCTCGCTTTAATGCCCGAGTTACTTTTCGACCAAGTTTGTCTTTAAGTCTAAACATAAAATAATAAAAGAATTTTGTTGAAAAATGTACACTATTATTAGTTTGGTTGGATTTGTAAACACTACAAATTACTTATAATAGTTTATATTATACATTTTAGATACATACTCGGGTAACATAATGAAAGTAGAGAACCCTGCTTTGGTAGCAAATAATCTTCTAAGTGCATGGAATTGTGCTTCTAATTCATGAACTGAAATCTCATTTTGGTCACCTTGATGTGCAATAATTGATGTAAGAGCCATAACAATGAGTTTTTCTTTATTTTCAGTAAACAATTTCTGTCAACAGTATATTTATTTTTATTTTAATCTATTAAAAATCATAAGACAACTTATATTATATAAAAAGATTTACAACTTTTAAGTTACTGTGAAATCATTTAATTTCTACAGTAATTTAATTTAATTAAAGACTAAATAATTTATCTAACAATTAGTAAAATAATAAGACAAATTAATTATTTCTGTGCATTTTATATACCTATAACATATTTGTATTAACTTAAGACTCTGATTTACGAGTTTAAAAATATACATAATGTAAAAATTTATCTGCATAGATTCAAGTCTTTATAAATTAATGATTTACATTAGTATCTATAAACTTGTAGGTAGGAAGATAAAATACTATTCATTCTACATAATTTAAATTGAATAAAATTTGTATTTAAATGTTTAAAATAAGTATGAAAAATATTTAATAATTGTGAAGAAACAACTGTTATTATTTTTATAATACTGTAGAAGCCCTTAATATTTTCTACTTAAATGTAGGTATTTTAATTATGTTATAAATAGACATATTTTGTAATTTGTAAGTAATTAACAATGTATTATTTTTTTTAAGTTCCTTAATATATTATCTTGACATTGTAATATAAATTTAATTTTAAAACAGTATATAATGTACCAATAAATCCCCTAACATGATAGTAAGAAAATAATTATCTCAATAATCTCTTATTGCTTATACATGACAAAATCAAGAGTTTAACTAAGGGTATCACCCATAGCCACACATTAAATTTTTAAAAAGAAGAGAAATTTTATAAAAAAAAAACTTTGGTAAGCAAGATCATAATAGATAGTAACTTACATCTTCTGATACAGAATGTATTAAGCCACTGTATTCAACATTTGCATTGAATCTATCTAAGACATCAGAGAAAGTTTTTTTTACTGGAGGCTCTTTAATACATTTTAAATGATTAGACTCAATCTAAAATCATAAATGTTTATTTTATAATAAATACTAAAAATATATTAAAATAAAGAAAACTTTACTTCTTGATCTGGCGTTATATTAAAAGGTATAAGTCTTTTATCTCGAGGAGTTGGAGATATTTTTACATGTACATGATGATTACCAGAAGATCGTACACTATCCAACAAAGTAGCTAAAAGTGAATCCCTAAAAGTATTAAACAGAAGTTTATTTAATAGACTTTCAACATGTTTTTAAAAAAGCTCTTAAAACTTTACCTATTAGTAGTAGCATAAGAACGACAAGAAGAATCTGAGTATTCAACACAGAATTGTTGAGCATCAATTGGATCACGAATAAGTGCAAATACTGATGATAAAGGTCTCAAAGTAACAACAGTATATGTTTGAGGATCTCTTTCCAAAAGACATACTTCACTCAGACAAAGTAATCTCCGTTGTGGTGATTCTTGATGTCTAGGTACACCTATTTTTTTTACTTGGAACTCACATACTGATGTTACATGTTCATCTGAACTATATCGGCCTAAACGTTTCGCTAAGAACTCATCTTGATTAATATTATGCCGGAAAAACTCAATGGATATTTGTAAATAAATTATAGCTTTTTCTTTAACTTTTTGAAGTATATCTTCTTTAGATGAACTTATAAATAAATGCTAAAACAAAACCAAGGTGTAATAATATTAATGCATGTTTTTTTTGACTATTTTTAATAATATTTTAACTTATAACAAAATTAAAGAGTCATTAGATACATTATATTATTTTATTAAAATTCAATACAAATATGTTACTTGTTGAGTTCATGTTGATCTCAAACGAAAAAATAATTAATATACTTATTTAACAAACCATTCTTCCATATGGACGTGATATGATAACAAAACCTCCTGGTATATCTTCAACATTTTGAATGGCTTCTATATCTTTGTAAAAATAACTAGCAAGAATTTGAGCAGTAGCAGTATCCAATTGATCAATTGATATAGGAGTGACATTTATAGTAACTGGCAAACGAGTATCTGACCAATGATGCTTAGAAGCTTCATACCTCTGAAATCATAACAAATTTTAAAAAAATGATAAATAACAGTAAAAATATTTTATGCGCAATAAATATAATTAGACATACAAATGTATCATCTTGACTACGCTCAGCAAACTGATACCTAAATTTGAGAGCATCAGTTAATAAATTTGACCGTACATCAGAGGAAAATTTGAATTTATCAACTTTATTTTTGTCCTTAACAGACAATAGGAAACCTCCTGTATTCTGTGAATCAACTTGTATTGAAATAATTTGGTTATAAGCATAACGGTTAGTTATTTCTAGGCTATTTGGGTTATATGTCGTAATTCCATGAGTACCAATACCAAAAATACGTTTGTACCTAAAAAATTAAATACTAATTGATATAACATAAAATATGATAATTAGGGCTATGAATTATATGTATTTATAAATTTTGTTAGATTAATCTGATTTTACAGGGGGATTCGTAAGGATCACGGAATGGACAACCCCGATGATTGAAGAACCATCAAAATTGATAGTTTTAATGCAAACAATGGTGTACCTAATGAACCGTTGTTCACTACGTAAGCAAAGAGACAGCAATGTCAACAAATGCAGACCAGGAGTTACGAAATCAACTAAAAGTAGTAGCTGACAAAATTAAAATTTAGACCTGAGATTGAACAGCAGTCAGAAGTGCAAATTGAAGATGAGCAATTATAGAGGAGCAGAAGAATCTACCAAAGGAAGGAGACAAGAGAACCAATGACTTGGAAAAGTCAAAGGGAACCGAAGCTCAAAAACCTGAGGTCAAGGGACTAGAACCTCCATGTAAGAAGACTTATTGGGTGCTAACCTATAGGGATATTGAAACAAATGACAAAAAAGTGGCTCTGATTTTCGCAAGCTACCCCACTAACAAATTGACCAGAGCAGGAGCTAATCATTGAATTTTGTGTTGGAGACGATACTGTCGGGAAGTGATGGAATTAACGTATCAAAATTTGATGACACTAGACTCACTAATTCGGACTCATGGTGAGATGATATTCCGTCTTACGCGAATGATGTATGGCCATGGCTGCTTTAATGAGTACCTGCGCGGTATTCACAAAGCAGCTACTCAGCGCAATCACTGTTTAGATCGCCTGGGAGAGACAGCCAGCATATTGCACACCTTCTTCCAGTGCAAGGCATAGGCCCATGAGCGGGACTCTTTGAAATTCCAACTAGGGTCCACGTTCAGAGTCAGATCCATGGTGGACCTGATGTTGAGGATTCGGGAGGCGTGGAGACTCATCCAGGCGTTTGCAGAATCTGTCTTGAAAAAGGAGGAAGTAAAACGCTTGAGACAGAAGCAGCTACGCCACCTGGTACAGTAGGTCCTGAATCAAAGGTTTAAGCCGGCGCCTTAGGAATTTGTTTTAAGAATTTTATTTGTTTGTGAGTTATTTTGCCAATCTTTGCCAAGTACTGCCACCACCTCCAACCCAGGCAACGGAACCCACATCCGGTTAACAGGAGAGGCTACATCACATTGTGAATCAGCTCTTGATTAATTTCGGGCTGGTTCATAACGTGGTGGTGTGTATTATAGAGACGACGTGGGCTGCCCTGAAGTAATGCCTAACAGCAGTACCAAGGCGGTCCCCTAATATTCTAGAAAAAAAAAAAACTCATTGATGGAGAACTTGTACTCAGTACTGCCCAAGAGAGCTCTTTTAAGTGGCTCACTGATCATATCAACTTGATAAAACCTTGGGACAGTTTTACCATTTCTGAATGGCTGACAATAGAATTCAATTCACGCAAATAAACCTGCATCACAGTAAGAGGGCCAGTAGTATATTACCAAAGATCCTAACTCAGAGACCTACATCACCCTTACAAATAGGACTTATTCAGGAACCATGGATAAATGATTATCAGATTAAGGGGCTAAATCTAAGGAATTTAAAACTGTTTCATAACACAGTTTTTTTATTGCAGTTCTTATCTATCTCTATAATAACTAAAATGGTGTAAAAAAGAATAGGGAGAATATCGAGGGAATTATAAATGAAATATGGTATAGAATAAGATTGCCGCTTACAAAAGCGCTTGTTGGTTAGAGTATGAATAGAATGCATAAAATAAGGTTTAACGTATAAAACAAGGAAACGTAGTAGTGAGATGAGGAAGTTCATAGAATTATAGAAGGAGGAAACAATTTAAAATATGGTAGAAGAACACAAAGAGAAAAATTGATAGAGCAAAAGTGAAGTAAGTAAAGCAAAGTGTAAGAGGTATGATAAATTAAGAACAAAGAAGGTAAAAAATAAATTTATAAATAGGCAAAAGTAAAAAAGAAACGAACCAAAGATTTTCAAAATTAATGGTGTATTAAAAATTATGATAAAAGGGTATTAACGAATAATGAGGATATGAAAGTAATGGAGATAGTATTTTAGTTTATCAGACTATAAAGCATTATTAAACTTACTTGCCCCTCCAAGAATGTTTAGTTACATAATAACAAACAACATCAGTATTATTTGGAATAGGTATCATATTATCATCTGTAACACAGATATAATACTTTAACAAAAAACATATGGCTCTCAGCTTTAAATTACTACATAGTTATAATATAAATGTATTATAAAATGATTATGGTTAATAATTTCCAAATATAATAATAATAAAGAACTCTTATAAATAAAACTATTAAATCCAAAATTTAAAATTTTCAATGCCAATTTCTTATTAGTATTTTTTTAACTATTTATAAAATCATTACAGTTCATCAAATCTATTAGTTAAGTTATTTCACACTAATGATAATAATTATTGAAAAAAATTAGTTTTAAATATAAATAAATAACAATTTATAAAATATGTTATAATGCTACTTATTATTAAATAATTTTTGAATTGTTCAATAAAAATCCATAGATTACATTATAAATATGTATGATAGATTGATCTAATTATTCATTGGCAACTGTAAAATTAAGTTAAATTAGAATCTAGGAAATGGTATAGGATAACATTAATGAAATAAAACATTTATAATGTTTAAAAAAATCTGTTTGAGAGAAAATTTTATTAATATTATAATTTAAAATATAAATAATTATATATTAAAAAAAAAAAAATTATATATATATATAAAGTATACTTCATATCTTTGATCAAAAATTAAAGTCTGAATCTAAATTATGGATTAGTTTTAAATTGTAAATTTAACCTTTTAACTATTGGAAAACAATTTTTTTTTAAATATTCATTACATTAATTTCCTACTAGTTGATGTTAAAATGAAATTGAAAAATTATTTTAAAAACGTTAGTCAAAATATAAGAAATACATCAGGCAATGTTATTTACCACGATACTCAATAGCTTTTAAACACGTTAAATTAAGTACTTACTTCCTGGCATTGAAAAACTATGAGGATAACTGTTCCTTAAAACATAACTTTTTAATGTTATCAATTAAATTTTTTATTTTAATTATAAGGCGTAATTATTAATAACTGAATGTTAAAAATTGTTTTATTTTCAAAAATGTTGCAATAAATTTTAATATTAACAATTATTAGTGCTTCATCAATTTCAACTAGCTGTAAGATAAACATTTAAGTGATAAACCTGCGTATAACCGTATGATAAACAATCAAATTAATATCGTGAAAACTGCTGAAAGACTTTATGTTATACATTTTGATAGCGCAGGACATTATCAACTGCAAAAATTAACTTAAATTAACCGTTAAGTTAAAGATTATATCAAGGTGGATATATTCACTTGAGGCTTAATACATTTTACAACCTCATCGAGATTTTTTGAAATTTTTATTTTTAATCGATTTAGTTTTCCATTCTGATTAAAAATATATAAAAAAATTTTATCGACGAAGCATAGTTTAAAAGTTAAAAACTTTCAAAGTTTTCTACTGTCGTGATTGATTTTTGTTATGTTTGGCTATTATTTTTCAATAATTTTCTTTAATTTACTTGTATGAGTAATCTTCAGTGATGTAGTCACCGATTTTTATTAAATTTGTTTGTTTACAAAAATAAAACGTATAGTTACTTGGTAATTTTGTTTTGCTCCCCACGATTCAAATTATTGTCAAGTCGGTAAAGCGCACTTATGCAATGGCAGCAATATCAGGTTCGTCTTCACTCAAGATATAAACATTTGCATTTTTTTATTAAATTTCCGAACAAAATTTCATACAATTGAAAAAGCAATAAAAAGCACGCGTTAAAAAAAAATTTGAAAAATCTCAATGGGGTGGTAAATTGCATTTGTTTCCCACTTGAAATTATAGAAAAGTTAACTAGTTCTTAAAGTTTAATTTAATCATATTTAAATTATGAACTTTTTAATATTTATTTTCCGATAATATTTGCTATACATTTGTATGGATCAAAAAATTGCATTAGTTTAATGAAGTCCTTGCAATGGTACTTGTGACAATAGGTATCTAATGCCTTAACATGACATCCACTATTAGTACTTTGATTATGATCTTCTACCTTTATTATTGTTTCATTAGTGTCCCTTTTGACATTTCTCTAAAATGTCGCAACTTTATGAACAAAAACGTGCTGGAAGGTACTTGGCCATCATCTCTATGTTTACTGTTTGGTAAATATAGATATAGAGGTTAATTATTTTAATTATTACATGTAAACTTTCTAATCTTGATAGGGTGTTATGAAAGAATTTATTCTTAGCTACACAATTAAAATTCTAAGCTAGCAATCGTAGAAGTTTCACCCCTGTATCCCATAATAATTATCCCAATATTAAAAATATTAAACTATTTTAATTTTCATACTAGGCATCGATTAGATTGCGATCCGCCCCGAAGATCGCCAAGCCTAACATGATTTGATGTACTAGACCCTACGAAGGTAGTTATGATTTTTCAATTTCATCCATTTTAAAACTAAAAAAGAAAATAGAGTAAAATACAAATAAAATTACTAGAACGGAGTAAATTATATATATAAATTAAATATTTTATATCAAGGACGTCCGTAGAAATTTTTTATGAGGAACAAAATATTTGTTAAAAAATTTGGTTTCACTTTCCGCTTAACAGGTCCATCGCTGAAAAACTCGTCCAGTTAACCGCGCTTTTTTGGAGGACTCGTCATAGACGCAAAAAAAAGGAGCCTATCCCCTAAGTTAATGAATTAACTTCCTAAAAAATTAAGTATGTTATCATCTACACGTAATACAATCTGTAGATATCTACAGATTTACATTAAAGCATTTCTTATGGCAGTAATTAAAATCAATGAATTTGTCACAGTTTTTAAAACATTTTTTCCATTTTCTTTGAATTTGTTGCTTAAATTGTGTATTCTAAACTAAAATAATTGTTATAATAATAGACTTTTAGGGTTGTCTTATTTTTACATTTGTTATTTATCATCTATAATATGGTAAATAGATTAAATTTATCAAATATATGCTGTTCAATAAATCCGTTTAGTGAATATTTGATACAGATTATTCAAGTATCCATTTTCACTACATTATTGTTATTATTATTATTTTTTTTATTTTTTGCAGAAATAATTGCTGTTTATATGGCAGCTTATGATTTTTATTTTAAATTTTATTTGAGACTGAATATATTATGTAATTTACAATAATTAGATTTTAGATGAATAGCAATCTCTACATAGGACAACCAATTTTCATTAAAAAATCAACAAATCTGATACTTCAATTTTACTATTATTATATTTTAACTTCAATAAAAATTTTTTATTTAAATAAATAATTGGTATTCTATCATATTCCAGTGTTATAGACTCTACAATTTGAATATAAATATGTCCTAAAACATAAGACTCACTTTGTTGATTATTAACCGACCTAATCTTAATTTATCTAAAATAAAAATTATCCCCTTTAAAGTTTTTATAAAGCTTAGTTTTAATTTAATATAAGCATGTCAAATTTCGGATCATCACAATAATTAATCAAGTTTTTTAACAAAATAAAAAGAATTTTACTTAAGGTCATTATTTTAATAAATTAAAATATATAATATCAAGAATACGGCATTTTTGCACAAAGTCTTTAACTCACACTTAGTTTGGGTATGATGATTTATGACAACATAATAACTAAATTTAAAATTTTATTTTATAACGATTTTTAAATAATCTACTGTTACTATTAGCAAAGTAATAATAAGTAAGGGTGACCATTGGTAAAAACCATTCGTACGTATTTTAAAATACGGACCATGTAGTGTTATACTAATGTCAATTTGTGCTATAATGGGTTGATATTAGTGATGGGCATAATCGAATGATTAGTAATCGAGTGAATCTCTCGAAAAATCACTCGAAGTTAAAATCGTCTGCTCCTATGATAAGAATAATCAACTATTATTATTTATCGAGAGAATCGAAAAATTATACGAAATATGAATAAATATACCTATAATAAATAATTATTAATTTAATTTTGCTTTTTTTATTTGTTGGTGTTTATTTATAATTGATGACACGGCCACGGCGTTGTCACACGTTGACACCCCGCGGTCGTGTCAGCTCCTTCTCAGCCACCGCTTAACTGTAAACCGGACCGTCACACACACGCGTTATCGTCGTGGTGTAAAGTCCATCAAATGCCTAGCGTCGGATACCCCGCCGCAATAATACGTCGAGTCAGTCATCTTCGTGACACCTAACACATTGGTTGCATCGTCCGCGAACTCAACTCAATCGCCACCGCAAATTCGGTCATCTGTGTTTATTGTGTCGACGGATTTTTAGTATTGTTATCATTGTTACTTTTGGTTCGCACTCGATTTTTTTTGTTTTTCGGTGTTACAATTCTTGTTTTTTTTTTCTTAATAAACGGCTCGACGCCCCTTAGAAAAACTAGTTAGCTTCATTTATTTTTGGTTTATCACCACCTTCTATCATTGATATATTAAACTATAATTTAGGAATAATAATAACAATAATATATTAATAATGCATTATTAATAAGTGCTTTAAATAAAAGACAAGTTGTTTTTTTTTTATTTAATAATTATTACCTATATTTTAAAAAAACCGATAACAAATTTAAAAATAAAAACATAAGATAAGGTAGCAATAGCCTGCTTGACCATCATAATTAAAACACCTAATTGATTTTTCATAAATTCACAACTAGTGAGAGAATCAGAACTCAGTAGTTTAGCCAGTTCAGGACAAAACTTTGTTCTAATCGTCACATACTTCCCAAAAATGTGACAGATAAGGTGTTGCCATGAGTAGCGATTGAACGAGTTGAAAATAAGACTCGAAGTCAACAATTTAATAATAATTCGACTATAATTTATGCTAAATAAAAACTTAAAAATAGTATTCTATCGTTTCATGGACATCATTCGAAATAACTTTTATTCGATTATATACATTTCAAGATCAAGAAATCATTATTTTTATAATAAACGAGAAATCATTAGAAATAATCACTCGATTATAGAATAATCAATATTATTCTAATATTATTTATTAAAAAAATCAGAATATCTCGATTATATAATTGATATGATTTCAATAATCGAAATATCTCGATTATATATCTCGATTATGCCCATCACTAGTTGATATCACTAAATCCAAAAGTCATATTTTTCTGTAGTTAATTTAGTTAAATCTTTACTGATAAATGTTTTTAAAATTGTACGTTTTGAAAATAAAGAATTTAAAGTTATTCGTTTATTTAATGCTCTAAATTTTTAATTAATGATGTCTGATAGAAATACAATTACAAGAAAACAATTTAGACATAGATTTTTAAAAAATGAACAAGACGTTTTTACACACAATGCCTGGTAAAATACAAAGTAGTATAAATGTATCTAAAGTTTAATTATATACAACTATTTTTTACAGGGATAATGTAGAATGGAATGAAGAACAAAAAAATCAAGCTATAACTCAAGTGTGTGAACATTTACAAACGAAAATGTCTGTAGAAGATGCAAACGACTTGCAAAATAATGCTGACCAGAATTGGGAAAAATTTTATTCAATACATCAAGAAAAGTATGAATTTCTGTAAAAATTACGAAATTTAATATATGATTTTTAACATGATTGATTCAATATTAAATACTTGAGTATACTAGATGATTGATTAACTATGATTCACACAATAACTTAATAATTATAAAACACGTAGTTTTTTTTATAATAGTATTATATTCTTTCTAATTGTAACAACTTTATATGAAAACATATATGTTTAACTAGCTTATAAATAAGATAATGATCTAACTAAAAAAATGACTGGTTGATAACAACTTTTGAATCAGTATTGAAAATAAAAATATTAGCAGACTAATATTACCATATTACTCCTGTGACTAGAATGAAGAGATTAATATAGTTTATAAATTCCTAAAAATAAAATTAAACAAACCTGTGCTTAACCTCCAGTTGATATAGTAATAACTTACAACAATTATTAATGACCCGTTATTTTCTTTAAGCCACACAAATATAACATTTCCATTAAAAACACATAGTTGATACTATTTTAAAGTGGTGATAGAGGATAGGGAAATTATAAAACATAGGTTATTGTTAAATCTAAAAAGATAATATTATAATGTATTTTATTTTTAAAGATAATGTTAATCTTTTTAGTTAAAACTTAATTGTTAATTTTATTTAACAATTCTCGAAATTTTATGTCTTTTACTTTTCCTTCATTTATGAAATAAAGAATTAGTTTAATTTATTAACATATTAGTTTCTGTTATCCTAAGAATTGTCTTTTTATTTTTGTTGGATTTTGTATATATACAGTAATGAATTATTTCATTTATTTTAAATCTTTATCTAACATTATTGTTTATAAGGTGATATTTTTAATTTACATAGTTTTTATCTTCCATATCATGAAATAATTTAATTTAATAAATTAACTATATTTTTCTTAGGTTTTTCAAAAATAGATGTTGGCTTTTTACTGAATTTCCTGAAATAACTGCGCTATATGAAAGAGAATCAAGTAATCTACTAGAAGTGGGTTGTGGAGTTGGAAATTCAGTTTTTCCTATTTTGACTCATTATGAAAAAAATAATGTACATGTATATTGTTGTGATTTCTCCACCAATGCTATTAATATACTAAAGAATAATCCAGAATATGATGCTAGCAAGTGTACAGCATTTGTTTGTGATATAACCAGTGAAGAGTGGAATACTCCTTTTGAATTAGAAAGTCTTGATATTATTTTATTAGTTTTTGTTCTATCAGCAGTACAGCCAAATAAGTAATATTTTTTTAATTCAAAATTATTTTTTATGCTAAAATTTTTAATTTCAGATTAAATCAAACCATTAATAAATTTTACAATTATTTAAAGCCTGGAGGAATGATATTGTTTCGTGACTATGGTAGATTTGATATGGCTCAATTAAGATTTAAAGAAGGAAGATGTATATCTGACAATTATTATAGTAGAGGGGATGGAACATTAGTGTACTTTTTCTCACAAGGTATTTAACATTTATTTTGAAATTATTTTTTTTTAAATATAAATATATTTTAGATGACTTAAGGAAACTTTTTGTCAGTAATGGTGGTTTCCATGAAATTCAAAATATTGTAGATCGACGCTTACAAGTAAATAGAGGTAAACAATTGAAAATGTATCGTGTTTGGATTCAATGTAAATTTCAAAAGCCTTTAACATAATATTTACTAAATAATTAAGATGTATATTGAATAAAATAATATACATATATAGTAATAAGTATATTTTTATATATTATATGATTTTTATTTTTGTACATTTCAAACATAATGTTTGTTGATAATTGCATATTGATATAAGTTGTTTATAATATATACATTTTATTTATGATAAATAATAAAAACTTAATGAAAAAAATATTTTTTTTATTATTAATAATTTATATCAATTTTTACTAGGTCCTATGTAACTAAATACTTAGATATAACTCTAAGGAAATATTATTTTAAAAAAAACAGAGACTAAATGAGTTTCTTTTACAATAAGATGTATGTCCTATTTTTTCATATAAAGTAATATGTCATAAAGAAATTTGCCAAGTAAAAACATAATTAAAAAAAAAAATTTTCAATTTATACCCTGTTGCAACTGGACAACTTGAATATAACAAATGAAAAGACTGTAATACAATAAAGCAGTTTTATATTTCTTTATCAATAACTATTATGATTAAGCAAGACTGTAAATATAGCAATACGGGTAATAAGTAGCTAATCACAAGTCATGAAATATTAACTAGATAAAAAAACTTATGTATTTACTAGTAAAATTTTTGCTTAAAAATGTTCATGAAATAATTATTTTGATGTGAAAATTAAATTTTGTAAATCTAAAATAATAAAAAAAATATCACAGAAGTGAACATGAAATGGCCATTTATATAAATTAAACATGAATTTTATTTTCTTATAAGTCTGCAGTTTAAGAAACATTTGTATAAAGGCACTAAGTGAATTTATTTAATTAATATGATTCACAATGGTAAATATACATTAGTATCTCTCCCTTTCTCATAAAAAATTGTAAAATAAATTATATAAGGAAGTATTGTACTTTTAATTTATAATAATTATTATTTAAATGTGAAGATATTTATTTATTGTAAAAAATACATCATAATTTACCATTGAAAATAAAAAACACAACTTTTATATTTATACATATGTATGTATCCGTTTGGTTACATTATAAATACTTTTTATATTTTTCATTATTATAGTTTAGTAAAATATTTTTTGGTGTGATTATTTCAAAAAATGATTACAAACATAAAAACAAATAATTTAGATTTTTTTTAATTTTAAAATTAAATGCAACTATGAATGAGTAATTATGTTAAATATATTGCTGAAGTTTTTATCAAATAAAAATTTGAAGGTAAAAAATAATTGTGGGATATACGCAAAAAAAAAAAATTTTGACTTAAAATTTTTCAAAATTTTATAACAAAAATTAAATTGTCATTTAAATTTTATATGAACTTGAAAGTAATATTCTTCAAGTGTTACATACTCTATAATTTGAATAGAATATATCCTAGAAATATTTTAAATTTTCATTCTTTCTAACAATGGTAGGATTTAGTGTACTTGTTAAACTTGATAAAATTGTGAAGTACTTTTCTATGTACTCTATAAAACAATTAAATATTAATCAAGGATCGTTCATAGTATACATGAATGCACCATCATTTTCCATTGCTGCCATGATTTCACTAATGTATGAAGCAACATCAACACTTTCAGTGTCACTACGTTTTATGAATGGATGTTCCAGTAGTTTGTTATACTTTGGTCTTTGATTTTCTTCTTTAATCAAACTACATAATAAATAGGTTAACATAGTTTATAAAACTTTAAGCAATTTCAATGTAATTCAACATTTTTTATTTATTTAATTTAATTTAATTATGTTAGGAATAGAGATGTTTTACATAATTAGTTAGGAATAGGGTAAATTCTCATTTTAGTAAAACTTAATTAATTTGTAATAAGAACTCACCATGTGTTAACAAAGTTAATAAAATGAAGAGAGAAATTATTTGATGACTGATGTAATCGAGGTGGATCTCCTTGGACCACTTGACAAAGTTGTTCAAAAACTGAACTCCATCTTGGATATGGAAATCGACCTGTGGCTACTTCTACTAATGTAATGCCTAGTGACCAAACATCTGATCTAACATCATAACCACTTCTGCCACGAACTGGATCTATTCTTTCAGGCTACAATGGTGTAATTAGTTATTTTTTACTTTCATGTTCTAAATTTTTTTTTTTTTTTTTTAAACTTACAGCCATGTATGGACGGCAACCCGCATCTCTTGTTTTAGCAATGGAATCTACTAACTGTCCAGAAATACCAAAATCACATAATTTGATATTTCCTCGAGAATCCAATAAAATATTACTAGGTTTTACATCACGATGTATAATTTTTAATTTTTCTTTCAAATAGTTTAAAGCTTTTACTGTCTATAGAAAAAATGATTACATAAAAATTAAATCAAAGTTATTCAGAGTTCTTTTAAATGTTAATGTTACTACTAAGTATTACACATAAAGTATACAATTTCTAAATATGGTGGATGACGTTTTAATATTTTGTTGAAATCATTGTTCTCATCATTTTAATTTACTACCTATTTTGTCTATGAATAAGTAGTTGTACTTATAGAAATTTAATAAAAGATCATGATGAACTTCACAAATAAATATATGTTTTTAAGGCAAAAACATTTTAAAAAAATTACGGATATTTAATAGTCAAAGTGAAAAAAAATATGCTTGATATTAGGGAGTAACAAATCATTTTTAGAACCCAATATTTTCAATTAAAAATAATAATTTGTGCTAGCAAGATGAGGAAATTTTGTAGAGGATGGTAAATAAGGTTAGGGATTTATACGCAATAAAAAATTGAGAAATATGCATTATATTTACCAAAATGAGCAAAAACCTTTTTTACTACAAAACCTTAACTATTTTTAACAATAAAATGAAAAACAAATTTGTAATGACTAACTATTTAATATTAATTAGTAGCAAATTCATTAGAAAGGAGTCATGTGTTGGATATTTTTTAATGATTAAATTGAAAGTGATTTTGAACGTTAAAATATTTAATTAAATTTATTTATTCTAAAATTTGACTGATATATTCATTATTAAAAAAATAGCGTATTTTATGAAACACTTTATACTTACAGCGACGGTTATTTTCCCCAAAATGTTCTCTGGTATTTGTTGATTTAATTTTTCATAAATATATTTATAAAATTTATCTAAAGATGTATCCATAAGTTCCATACAAATCCAGCAATCGCCCTAAAAATGACAGGAAATTCATAAAAGTAGTAAAATAAAAAAAGGAATTTTAAAATTTTATAGAATACTTCTTTGAATAAAGCTCCATAAAATTGTACAATGTAAGGACACTCATTAGATTTCATAACAACATCTAAATCCATTAACAATTGTTTTTGTTCATTCTCATCAACAGTGGACCTTATTCTCTTTAATATAAAATTATCATTATACAAAAAAAACAAAAAAATGTAATTATTTTTATAAAAATACCTTAACAGCCATAACCATGTCACTACTTCTATGTAACATTTTGTTGACTGTACCAAAACCACCACGTCCAATTTCTCCTAAATCTTGTAAATCATCAGATGTAAAGTCATAAACCTTAAAAGCAAAATTGAATCGATAATTTAGTTAAGTAATGATAAACATAAAGTATGGATATTTTAAATTCCATCATAGAAGTTAAAATTAAAAAATATAGCTATTATCTATTATTAACTATTAGTACATTGTAATCACCATATTGTTAATCAGCAGAACAATTTCTTATGCCCAAAATTAGCAAAATAAGGTTTTGGTATATTTGGTTGCTAAAAAAAACATAGAAAAACTCCCATGTGACATCTTTAACTACCGATGAGTAAATGAAAAAATCTACAATTGTACCTTGTTAAACCTATGTTATATAGTACTGGTTAATATATAAATTGGCTTTTTGTGTCCTCTAAAATTTTTTTATTTAGGCGATTTACTTACAATTTACTTTTTACATTTTTATTAAAACTATAACCTAACTAATTTTCGATAAATTAAAACTATTACTTCATAAATAAAGTTAATATAAACAAAATTTTTGAAATTAAATTCTATCTAATGAAATAATATGAAAAAGTAATTCTTTGATTTCCTAAAGTAAATTATAAAACATGGCTAGGTAAAAGTCTAGTACGCGTGTAATGCTATGGATAAGTGTTTCCAAACATTTTTGCAATAACAACCCTTTGTTAGATTTACAACTTTATAGAGCTTCATACCACAGATGTAATTAAGTTAAAATTAATATAAACTAACTTTATTTTCAGATAGTTGAAGTTTTCCTGTAGATTGAATGGTTTGACATATTTTAAGTCTTTCTCTGTAAAATAAAGTAGTATTATTTTAAAACAAATGTATAAATTAATGAGATAATAAACAAAAAAATTAGATTAAAAATACAAATGTTAGATGTCAAAATTTATTTAAAATGTTACATAGTTAAATATTCAAATTTGTTAAAGACATTCAATAATCTGTATTAAATTAAAATAATATTTACACTATCAATATACAGACATTATTTTAACAAAAAAATTATAATTTTAACTAAAATAAGTTACAACAATAAATTAAAATGTGTTAAACAATTTTAATTTTAATCAATTTTTAATAGACAATTTTTGAAGCTAACAATGATTATGAGACAAACATAAGAACAATCATAGATTTTTTAATATTAAACATTTTATCTTAAACTCAAAAGCTGTTACTACCTATCTATAAGTTATATGCCAAACTTAACCCTATTGCAAACTTTATTTATTGATTGAATATTGTTAATTTATGTCAATTTATAAAAAGATTTGTTTAAATTCAATTAATTTTCATTAAACTATTTATACTTAAATAAAATATTATGACCAATAGGATATTTTAATTTAATTTAATGTTTTTTATGAAAAATTGGTTAGTTTCAAGAAAAATTTAATTAAAATGATTAAAATACATAAACCTTAATGAAGAAGTTTAAATAACATTATATTACCATTTTCACAAAAATAAAAGAAACATTGATCACTTTTTTTTTTAACACTAACTTACCGTAATTTACAGCGTTCTATGAGTCTGTATCTGTGTACATAAAATTATTAATTGTTCAAAATTTAATATGAAAAAACTTATAAAATCATATTAATATATAACTCCAGAAATTAAAACATATATAAGTTTTGAGTCTCACATGGGTATTTATATTAAGATTTAAAAAAATTTAATTTATTTAAGATTTTGAATCTTACACGCATCTAGAATGTCCCACAAAAAATAAATTTTAGTATTAGTTTATAAAATAAAATTATTAAAAGAAGCAATTGAAAATATGTTTTAATTCCACTCTTAAAGAGTCTTAACTATGATTAATGTCCAAAGTAAAAATGACCAATAGGTAAAAATGACACAATTGTGTGTAATTAAAAATAATACTGCACTTGTTGGCTGACTACAACTGGTTATTATTGAATAGATAGTAAAAATTTTTTTATAGTTTAAGAAAAATTAAAATAATTTAGCAAAGAATATAATAAAAGAAAAATTGATAATATTTTATAAGTAACTAAAGTAACATAAAAATATTGTAAAATTCTAATTTATGTTTTGATTTTAATTTAATATGAATGAAGTATAATTTAATAATAAAATTGGCTATGTTTATTTAATCGGCTTGTTACTTATAACCCACACACCTTCAAAATGGTGGTTAATTAGGAATTTATTTTGGGAAGAATATACTAAAAACAAATGTTCACCACCCACCAAACAAAAATATGTATCCTCACCATGTTACTAATTTTGTTATATTTCTCCCGTAATTGAATATATTATTTTAAAAATCTGCCAAATACCAAAGATTAAAGAAAAATGAGTTAGGTCAGAGGTTCTCAAACTTTTCAGGCCAGGCCCCCCTTTTGGTCAACCCCAGATGTGAGCCCCCCTTATAAAAATAATTTTAATAGTCAAGTTTAAATTAACAAAAAGTTAAAAAAAAACAAAAATTATAGGCTTATATTGATATTAACATTACCAATTTATTTTAAAATAAAATGTATTTTTTATAAAAGGTTTTAATCAATCGGCCAATTTTAATGCGATGGGTGGGCTTGTTTTTCATCACAAAGTTTGGTGAAACGAGGAGAGATATTTGATAAAGCTACTCTCAATTATTTGCTGACATCCAGTCTTCCACGGTACTTAGACTTCATTGATGCTAGGGTGGAAAAGCCTGTATCACACAAATACGTAGTAGCAAATGGGACTAGTATTCTCATGGCTTTTTCAAACAATATTGGGCACTCTTCTTTTACACTTACCCAGAATCTTGTTAGTGAGTTGTCTTGTTCAAATGTAGCTTTCAAAAACTCATCACATTGAAGATCAATGAGCTGTTCTTGTTCTGCCAAACTCAACAAACAACTTTTGATCTTTTGTATTCTTTAAATTTTTCTTTTAAAGTTGACAGATGATTTACAAAACATGTTGTTTGTTCTTGAGGAATCTCCTCACACTCAACTTCTTGCACCATGTTCAATAACGTTGGAAAAACGGTTAAGTCCGGGGTTTTCAAAGCAGCTTCCCACAGTGACAACATTTTAATGAAGCCTTGTATCTTTTCTTCCCAAATAAGAATATTGGCTTTTTCTTTTTGTAGAGATTTATTCAACAAATTAATTTTTGAAAAAAAATCTGTAAGGTAAGCTAGCTTCAAAAGGAACTGTGTATCGCAGAACAACTCTGCTGAAGGTTTTTTACAATCTTTTAAAAACATGAATACTTCATTTCTAAGTTCAAATATTCTATTTAAAACATTTCCCGAGATAGCCATTGAACTTCGGTGTGAAATAGCAGTGCTGTATGCTCTGAGCCCATTTCTTCACACAAAACTTTAAACAACCTTGACTGTAGCGACTATGCTTTTATTAAATTGACTGTTTGAACAACAGTTTGAAGAATTACATTTATGCTCAGACTCAAATATTTTGAGGCTAGAGCCTCTCTATGAATGATGCAATGGGTCCATTTGATGTTTGGAGCAACAGCTTTAACCAAACCTTGAAGTCCATTGTACTGGACTGCCATATCTCTGGCTCCATCCGTGCACAAACCAATGCATTTCTTCTATTGCATATCATGTTGTTTAAAAAAATTGACAATAATATCAAAAATACACTTTCCAGTAGCATTGGTGGTTAAGGACTCACAAAAAAGTATTTCTTCTTTTATATCCTTATCATCAATAAATCTAACATAAGCCAATAAATAATATTGCCTATGTTTATCAGTCGCTTCATCAACTTGAAGGGCAAAAACGTTATTTTTTAATTTTTCAAATAATTGTTCATTGGATCTACCGAAATATCTAATATTCGCCGTGACACAGTGTCATTGGAATGAGGTATGGATTTTAGTTGTTGAGCCAAATTGTATAAATTGATGTATAAATATACTAAATTGTATATAATACAGAACGCGATTATTATTATGGAAATTTCACAAATCTTTTTCTGTCCTACCAATACAATGTTGATTTTTAAAAATTTTTGCGCTCCCCCTATAAAGCTTTTGCGGCCCCCCCAGGGGCGCGCCCCACACTTTGAGAACTTCCGAGTTAGGTTAAAGTTTTCATTTGTTGAAGAATATAAACACATAGTTTAATGCAGATACCAGACAAATATTGTTTTTCTATAGATGTTTAATTTTAGATCAAATATGGTTTTATTAAAGTGACACGTCAAGTGAAAGTGTTTGATGTGTTTTCATATTTAACAATGTAAAGAATGTCTATTCTAGACAAAGTTATATCTATGAGAGGTTCTACAAATAAAAAACATGTTATAATATTGAATAATATAATAAACTTTTAAATAAATTTAGGGTTTCATTTCATAAATATTATAAATAATACTTCTTCTTTTTCCTTGCCTAAATCCCAACTACTTGGAGTCGGCCAAAATATTATAGATAATACCAATTGCTTAAATACCTTATAATAATTCATAAAATCACAGTGATCCCAAAAATTATCATGATGTTATAATTATTTTCATAAATAACTTTTCATAACTCTTTCAAGAGCATAATTAGGTTGGAATATTTTTAGATCTTTTAATGTTTTTCAATCAATTTCATATTTAGCCTTCCTAAATTTGTAACCAAAAAGTCAATTAATCACATATTAAAAAAAATAATAGCAAGTAATTTGTTTGATGACAGTAATTTAATACACTCTTTAAAACATAATTTTTATTATATGATTAAATAAGTGTGCAAATTTATTTAAGTATTTTAATTAACTTTAACTACTAAAAATGTATTTTTTTATATATTGTATTTTATGTTCTATTAACAAGATCATCAGAATTGAAGAGTCCAATGTAATAACTTAGTATTTCCACTTTTAAAAATTTAATGGGAGGAGCAATTACATTTAGAAATTTACACTAGTATTCTTTTTATAAATATAATTTTTTCAAACAACAATCTTTAATGTAATTTAATAAAATTATTTAAATTTTATACAAGGGTATCTACATAAGTAACCAGTGAGGTGTTTTATAATTTCCAGAGCTTCAAAGATTAGAGAAATTGGGAGTTTCATCCTTTCATACCTATCTTTATCACAATTTTATGTCAACCATGCATTAATATTTAGACCTCTTAAATAAAATTTTCAACTAGTCAGCGTAGGTTTGTTTTAATACTCTTACTCTATCTAGGTCAATTTAGTATAGATAATTATAAAATTACTACCTTGACTTTTCTACAGTTGGTTCAGGATTTGGCAGTTTCACTTTAGGTAAACTAAGTTGTTTGGTGATTGTGCCATTGCATTGTACGCGGCTTTCTTCGTCAGATCTAGGATATACAAAACAAAAATATATTAGCCATATTACATATGATTTAAACATAAAATTGAGAATTGTGTAAGGATATGATTCTTCAATTAAACTCATAAGTAGTTATAAATCAATCAAAATAAAAATTTTAAATGACTATAAAAAATTTAATAATTTACCATATAAACTTGATTTTACTTCAAAAAACCAAGTTTTTAATATGTGAAAAAAAAAATCAAATAACAATCATATATTAAAATAGATGAACTGATGTATATTTATAATTATTTTCAATGCAAAAGAATTAAAATAATAATTGTTAGTTAATAAAACTATAAATTTTACTTTAATGATTGTAAAGTCTGAATGGGTGAGCTGAATCCAAAAGAAGAACTTGAAGATCCTTGTATAGCTAGTTTTAACTGTCTACGTTTTTCTTTAAAAAAAAAAAAAACAAGATATACAAATAATTTATATTATATTATCTATATATATTTATAGTTTAACTGTTATAGGAAACCTTATAATTATAATTGATTTAACTAAATTTAAGTATATTTTTTTAACTTAAAACATTAGTATCCAATACTAAAAAATATAAAAAAATTCAGAGTTCCTTTTAGTATAACATTATTCAATTGTTAGGTACATTCAGTATTTTACCTGCTACAATAGCGTCTTGCCGAATATCTAACTGAGGAATTGAAGGTCTAACAGTACCTAAAAATATTTATAAATAATATTTAAGAAGTTTGTATTATTAAGATACTCAATAATTCCATATTTTATTGGAAAAAATTAGTTGTAGACTATAGTCAATTTTCAACAGCAAAACTTACCAGAAGGCAAATTTTCATTATTGTCATTGTTGGACATTTTCTATTAGGTAATATACTGCTTCAAACATGGGTATTTAAGTTGTGTTATTAAAATAATTTTAAATTAAATTAAAATTACATAAATTTGTTGATCAGCGTTAAATTATCGTTCAAACATGGTCCTAAAATGATACACACAACAAATCTTACCATAGTATTTATTTGTTGAACGATTGACAACAGTTGACTCAAGTAGTTTTCATTTAGCTGATAACATGAAAATTTTTAGTACTGTACAATGATAAACAATATTGGATACACTGAATATAATCAATGCTTTCATTACTGAGATGTCTAGTGATAAAAATTATCAGTATTTATGATTTCTGACGAGTCTTATTTATTAATTTCAAAATAAAAAATTTTAATACATACATTTTTATAAAGTACATCATAATTATATTTTTGTTATGAATACCATATATAATACGAATAGTAAGAAATAATATTAAATATTAAAAGAAAAATTAGTCTTTTTTTTTTTTATTTACACTATGTTACCTATTTGTTTTGTTATAAGACTATATTATTTATGACCGCAATAGAATATGTATTATATATATATTAATTATGTAATTCATCATAGCAGTTTACTGTGATATATAATAATGCCTTCCGGTGATAGTTATGTAAGGTTTTTATTATTGTGATAAGATTCACTATGTAAATAACTGACTAAAGTTTTTCAATTTAATTTTTAGATAAATGTTGAAGAAAATGTTAAACTTATAACTGTAAACCGTTCCAATATGTTGAAAGAACTTCGTCAAAGTTTGAGTTCTTCTCAGGCTTATCGTATTTCAAATACTACTATACGATTCCAAACTCATTTCATTATTATTGTTTTATTAGTTGGTATTATATTTTTAGTAACTTTATATAATATTGGACATTCAGCACCTAAACTAGTTAGTTATGGTTTTAGTCGTCCAACTGATAACTTTTTATTCCGGGAAATTAAATCAAAATATCCATTAACACAGCCAACATTAATTGACAATATTGGTATTAAATATCGTATTGGTATGATAAGTGACCTAGATAAAGCTTCAAAAAGTGAAAATGAGAAAAATACATGGATTAGTTATTATAAAAAAGGATACTTTATTTGGTATTCTTATAACAACACAATTGATATCAAATGGGATATTGAAGAACCAAGTATACTAAAATCATCTTTGTCAATGGGTGGTCGGGGAATGGAACTCTCTGAACTTGTTACATTTAATAACAAAATATATACTTTTGATGATCGAACTGGTATAGTTTATAATGTTGAGGACGATGATTCAATTTTACCATGGATTATTCTTATGGATGGAAATGGAAGTAACTTCAAAGGTAACATCATTAAATGAAAAACTATACTTTAGAATAATCTCTAAAATGGGCCTCATATATCTAGTATTTATTAATCATAGTACCTTGAATAAATTAAATAAAATTCATGAATAGTAATTTTAATATTGAAAAAAGTTTTAGGGGAAACTTAAAATTTTCTAAGCTTCATTCTTAAATAAACTTTTGATAATAAAATAGATTTAATCATGAATATAACCTAAAAAATTACAATACAATGGAATAAAAAATATTTTTTAATAAGAAATGAATCAAATTAAAAGTGTTAATTGTATATTAATTTTTACAATTTTACAGTACTTATTTTTGTGTTTTGTAACCCATATTATGCAATATTAATTCTAAAAGAAAACCTACAGTAGAACTTTAATTAACCATCGTTGCTCTTCTGAAAATTTGTATGCACTAGAAATATAGTCATAGGCATATAATAATTATGTGTGGAATATTTTATAAATTTGTAATTTTATTAGGTTTGATGAACTTTTTGTAGAAATTTACACACATATGTATGTGTGTCACATATTATTTATTTGTACATAGATGCAACTCATTAAGTAAAAAAAAATTCCTAATCAACTGTGGTTATTATTTATCTTTGTAACTCCCTTTTCATTATTACCCTAGATAATCAAGACTTTATTGTACTATAAAAATTTCAAGTTTTTTTTTATTGATATCAATTATTTTAGGTTTTAAAAGTGAATGGGCTACTGTCCACAACTCAGAGTTATATGTTGGTAGTATGGGGAAAGAATGGACTTCATCTAATGGTGAATATATTAATAATAACCCAATGTGGATAAAAATCATTAATAAATTTGGACAAGTTACTCATGTAAATTGGACTGAAAACTACATTGCTCTTCGAAAAGCAGTGAATATAAATTACCCAGGATATATGATACATGAATCTTGTGTTTGGAGTAGAGTGCATAAAAGATGGTTTTTTTTACCACGAAGAAGTTCTGAACATCAATATAATGAAGAAAATGATGAGCATATGGCTACAAATTTATTACTGATTGCCAATGATAACTTCAGTAATATTAAGGTAAAATTAAAATGTTATGTTTTTTGTATTATAATTAATCTTATTGATTATGCAGGTGATTAATGTAGGTGAAAAAAACCCAACTCATGGATTCTCCAGTTTTAAGTTTGTACCTGGAACTAATGATGAAATCATTTTAGCAATTAAATCAAAAGAGTTAGGTTCTAAAACATCTACTTATATGACAGCTTTTAGAATAGATGGAACTATTATATTACCAGAAATAAAAATTGCTGATCATAAGTATGAAGGTATAGAATTTATATAAAACATTAGGACTGTATCAATGATATTAACCAAGTATTAAATATTGTTTTATTGTTAAATATATACTTCATACATATATATGTTTCTTTATAAAATTTCTTTTAACTTTTCTATTAATGACGTTAGTTCTTCCTGGGATAATTCTAAAAAAATATTTTCTGATATAGTTGGGTTTAGAACATTGTTGGTATTTGTATCACTCTTCAAGTGGAAAATTATTTGCAGTAATGGTTCTTCTAATGTGCTTAATGAACTGCTCCCCATAACATACTAAAAAATAATAATTGCAAATCTCTAAAAAAATAGTTCGAATGAAAATAAAACAAAATTAGAACATTATATGTCCAAGAAAAAGATTCAAAAATAAAATATAAAGTATTTAAAATAAAATTATTCTAATATAGACAAAAAAAATAAATAAAAATAATCAATTACAATTTTGTTAAATGTTATATGACTATTTAATTACATGTTAAACTTTTTAACTACATACTAAAGTTCAATTAAAAGAAAATTTTCAGATTTACACAGTCCCAAAAATAATAGTTCCATGTCTTAAATAATTTTTATAATCATGCAAACAAAAAAAAATACACATATATTATCTAAAATTATTTTACAAAATTTTCAGTTAATACTTTAAAATTTTTAATGAGTTGATACTGTAGTTCATGCAAGCATTAATATTAAATTTATTAAATGTTTGAAAAGACTACAAACATTTTTTTGCTTATAAAGTATTAATTGTAAAATGAAAATAAACAGATAATCCCATATATCTCAGAATACCCTTACACCTGTAATTGTGTCAAGTTTAAATTAATTATTTATTCAAATTAGTTAATGAACCAAATTCCTTGGAATGTAAAAATAAATAAATAAAACAAGGAAATATTAAAACTTGAAATTATAAGTATAATGATGTATTTTGTATGATTATACAATAATGTATTATTAATTGTTATTTATCTTGAATCTACCTAGTTATCATATTTTGTTTATCCTATTGTACTTAAGATGTTAACATAATAATAGTAATAATGAGAACTTGAATAGCAAAATAATAGGTTGTAAAGCCTTAAGAATTTAAATACCAGTGAAGTTTTCTATAACTTTTTTTCTGATTTTATCCTCATGTTTAAATTGTTTATAAATTCACTCTAAATGAAAACAGTATAACTTCATGTCATAATAATCATTATATTTCTAAAAATATTTCAATGTATATAACAGAAATGAAAGAAAAGACATTTTATGTATTAATTTTTACAACCACTTGATTCATTTTCAGCTTTGGGTACTAAATTCAACAATTCATCAACACTTGTCATGAAATCGTCATCTGCCCAATATTCAATAAGCTTGTGAATAATACGTCCAATAGTTCTTCCATCTTTGATACCTTTGTTCCGAATCATATTACCCGAAATAGGGAATTTGGGAGGAATCCATTTTTCAAATTCTTTTAAGATAGATGTCTCATTGGAATATTTTAGCATCTGTTCAACGTATTCTTTCATTACATTTTGTTTGCTAACATTCTGTATCATTTTTATTTTGTACTTCTTAATAGTTTCAGGTGACCATTTATCATTTCTACACTCTATTAAAAACAATCCTAATTCTCTATCAAACACCCGGAACTTTAATCTATTGTTCAATGTTAACATTTCTTGAGCATCTTTCAAAAGAGCAGATAACATAGTAATGGGAAGTAATTTTAAGTGTTTTGTTTTACTTGTTACTTTAGAAAACTCATCTATATCAACATAATTAGGTAAACCTATATGAGGTCCAAGGCCTAGATTTAATATAGTTTTCATAAGTTCAGGTCCATAATTTCCTTCTAATATTTTACTAAGTTCAGACCAAATACGCTCTCCAGAAATTTGTTTTAACCCATCACCTTGTTCTTTAATAGCATCAAGGATATCTTTATCATGATTATTAGGTGTGTCAGCTAATCGACCATAAAATCTAAAATACCGTAAAATTCTTAGATAATCTTCTGATATTCTTTTTCTACAATCGCCAACAAATCTAATATGACGTTTTTGCAAATCTTCATATCCATTAAAATAATCATAGAGGGTTCCATCCATTCCCAAAAACATAGAATTGACAGTTAGATCTCTACGTTCAGCATCTAATAACCAATCTTTAGTAAATTTAACATCAGCATGCCTACCATCAGTTATAACATCTATTCTAAGAGTAGTTACTTCAAAGTTAAGACCATTAATATGGGATGTAACCGTACCATGTTTTAATCCACCCTTATTGATAAGTCTTATTTCTTCTTTTTCTAACATTTCTACCATCTCATAAGGAGTAGCAACAGTAGCAAAATCTAAATCTGTTGGAGTTTTCCCAAGAAGAATATCTCGAACTGCCCCGCCACACAGCCTAATTTCAAACTTATACTTATCAAAAACTTTTAATAATTGAGTAAGCTCAAGCGAAAAAATAAATCCAAATTGTGACTTTTCCAATTTCATGATTTTAGGTTTTGGTCTGAATGCAGGAACTCCTTTGAAAATAGTATTTTTTAAAGTAAAATTATAGGAATGTACGGCTAATTTTGAGAATACTACAACAGAACGTGACGATAATAATTGCATTTTATAACAATTTACAATAATAATTACTCCCAAGAAAAATTATAATCCCATTTACCTTTAATTTCCAATCGAAGTCCAATAGCTTTTGTTCCATGATAACATAACAGTCCTTAGTACAATTTTGAAATTATTTACAAATGAAGCTTTTAAAAAATTAAAATATCTTCATTTTCTTGGAATTGTAGTTTTGATCTATGATAGGAATACTTTAGGACAACTTTTAAACAAAATAGGATTATGTACATATAAAAATTAGTGTTCATTCAAAGATAATAATTCCTTAGAATGCGGTAAGGTCTTAGAAGATAAGGTTTCCGTAGTCCAACCTCCCCACGTACAGTTCCGATATTTTTAATTATCGAGTAGAAAACATTTCAGATGTTCCCAAATGGTTGTGTTTTGCCGAATTTAAGGTTATACGAATATATATATATATATATATATAAGTATACGAAAAACATTGATAAGAACGAAGTTCACCAATCATATCTTCTAAGGTCATGAATCGTGGTTAACATACAACTATCTTAACTACTGTGGTTTTCAATCAATCAGGACGCCAACTTTTAGAATCAAATTTTTGTGAGTGATACTCTGATATTTTGAGGTTATTTTTGAAAAAAATCGAAGTCAATATTTAAAAATTTATAATATACATTACGATTACCTATTATTGTGGTACTCATAAAAAACATGAGTAAATTATAGAATAAAAATGAAAACTATGTTGTAAAATTTTTCAAGCAACACAAAAAATATGCTATGAAATTTAAAACACTATCGATTTCTTATCAAATTGAATTCGATTTTTTGATAAACTCAAGTTAGCGTTGCAATATTGTTATTCCTTCGTAACCCTTGAGTTGGACACAATTACTAATAAGCAATAAACTTAAATTTCTTAATTTAAATTGCAGTTTTTGGTGTTAGGTATTAATTTTCTTTCATAAACTTAATCATGGTGAGTATTTTTTTTCTTATTATTTTTTACTAATCGAATTCATTGTTTAAATAACTTAATTTTTGCTCGTAGATATGTACTAATTCTAACCTCTTAATCATCACATGCTTTTGAATATTTATATTCAGAAAATCAAATTTCTAGTGTTGGATATTAATTAGTATTTTCTATATAAAAACTGCAAATCCTGGTTGCTTGTTTCTAAAACTGTCAACTGATTCATTATTAGTGCTGCTCCTTAATGTGTGATCAATTATATTTTATTAAAATTTTCGTTATTATTAAAAAACAAATAGAAGACTATTTGTTTGATTAAAAACATTCCGGTTAATATTATTATGGTATGAATGAATTACTTAATTTTTAAATTGAGTATTGAATTAAATTTTAGTTTAGTTGCATGCAGAGATGTTACTATTAAGTATTATAGTATAATTTTTAATTTTTTGTATTTTTAAATTTCAATGTATTATACATCTTTTTAATATTGATATTATTAGTCAAATTATTATTAAACATTCTATTTTGTATGCATTCCACATTATAATTCTCTTGTAATTTCTAATTATGTGATTAGAAATATAACAAATAATTTTTTGATGTAAAACGTTAGTTTAAATTTTAATAATTTTTTTGTATTGATAAGGTGAAAAAAATATTCATTTATCTATTTTAAAAATACTACTTTATGATGAATCTTATTGCATTGAATTTCTTTGAAAGCAATATAAGGGACGTAATTCTGAAAGTATTAAATTTGCTGTACACTATGCTATACTTAAATTAGTTGATATTTAATAAAACTTGATACTTAATTATGGATTTAGTTTAAAATGATTAATCAATATTATGATGATTTATTACGTACTGAAATTTTATTGAACGATTATATAGGGACGTAATTCTGAATTATATTTTTAATATACTACTAAGATTGAGATGATAAAATTTATAATGAAGTTGCTTATTTTTATTTCATCAAAAATTCAGAAGTTATTAACATCTTTTTACATAGGCGAGAAGAGGAGAGGAAATGTTTAGTAATGAATCTAGCTACACTAATACTTCAGCTCTAGTCATTATTTTAAATTGTTAATAACTTCTGAAATACTGGTCCAAATTTTTAATACACTAGTCATTTTTTATTTTTTAAGTTGATACCCCTATAAGACATAAAACTGATTTTATAACAGATAAATATAGATGCATATGTAGCGTACAAAAGCCAAAAAAAAGAAACTCTAAGTCAAAGCCTTATAGTATTCTCTTCCACTCCTGCTGATGTCTTGTACCAATAACTAACTACATAATATAATTTAACATATAGTGACATTTAAATTAAACAATTTACGCATTTTCATTAATAAAAATAGATATTATTCATTAAATATGAAAAAAAAAAATGAATGAATTAGTTTTTTTTTGTTTTCATATTTGAAAAAGAACATTTTTTATAATTCTATATGATACTATATCGTTTTGACAATTAGTTTGTAAATATTTAAAAATAATGAGTGTATTTGTTTTATTAATGTTATTTTAATAAATTATTGTCAATGATGATTCTTTACGTACTGAATTTTTATTGAATGCTTATAAAGGGACGTAATGCTGATTAAATTGTATTAAGAAGTGTATTTAGAAATATACATACTGAGATTTATTTTATGAATTTGAGTAGAAATGAAAGTAGTTTTATTGATAAGTAATTTTATTACTTATAATAAATATTGATTATTTATGTAAGTTATTTTTATTGGAGCAAATAAAGGGATGTAATTCTTATCTATTAATATCTAAGTTTAGAGTGTATTAATATAACTATCATTAAAATTTACTTTTTTTTAAAAATTGTATTATTTAATTCATTGTCTAAAGGAAAACTTTAAACTTTTACCATATTAAGAAACTTTTGTTTATTCATTTAAATTAATTAATATAAATTATAATAGAGATACTTATTAAGTTAATTATTTTTATTTTATAGCCACGAGAAATCAAGGAAATAAAAGATTTCTTGCTGAAAGCAAGGAGGAAAGATGCAAAATGTAAGTTTATTCAATATCTATTTATGTTATTATGATGATATTTTTTATAATTATGTGAATATATTGACATCATTCACCATTATTCTTAGATGAAAACTTATAATAAATTTTCTCATTTAGTAATTTTATAAAAAAAAAAAAAATGGTCCATGGTGTTTTGACACATCTAATATCTTTTAATCTATTAAATTTTTGGTGTTAGCTTCGATATAAAGCTGAAAAAGTATTAATTTTACCATTAATGGTTAATTAATTAATTTTTTTTTTAATAATAATTTATGTGTTGTAGACTACATTAAATAATTTTTAATAATAAATAAAACACAATTTTTATTTTATAATTTAAAAAAAGTTTGTTTTTTTTTTTGAGCTTTTCTTACAAAAAATTTTAATGAGACAACGAGAATTTTAAGGCAAATACTTACTATGTTACAATAATTTTCATACATAAAGTGGGTATGTATCACAATTGAGGTATATGTTATAAATATACACTAGTAAACACTATACTCATACTGAAAATTTTAAATCTTCATTTATTTGTTGTTAATGAAATTTTAATCTAAATTTGCATAATTTTTTTTTTTTTTTTTTTTTTTTTTTTTTTTTTTTTTTTTTTTTTTTTTTTTATTATTGCATAATATTTATGAGTTCTTAAGTTATTGGCAGAGCTGTGAATTAAATGCATTTTTAAATTTTGTGAAGTTAATCTGAACACACCATCAGCCAATATAATTTTTTGATAATTAACTTTAAAAAAAAGGAACTTGTGGGATACGGCGGTTAATCATTAAAATTTCTACATTACTATATAATTCTAATAAAAAGCGGCACAAACTTGGGATTCTTTAAAATGGTTCAAATAAAATTTATAAATGCTATGATTCTCAGATCTGGTTATTAGATTTGTAAGAACATTATAGTCTATCCCGTACATAGTAATTATATTTTATTCAATTCTATAGAAATTTAACTTGTGTTTTTTTAATTTACTAAATTTAAATCATATAAAATGTATTTTCATTTAATTAAAATATATATGGAATTCACCCACTGAATGTAATTAAATGTCAATATCAGGAACAAATAATTTTTCATAATTTTTTTAATAATACTTTTAAAAAATGTTTACAGCTGTTAAAATTAAGAAGAATATTGAAAATGTAAAATTTAAAGTGAGATGCTCAAGGTTTTTATACACTTTAGTTATTACAGACAAAGAGAAGGCAGAAAAACTGAAGCAATCTTTACCACCTGGTATATTAAACTAATATTTTCTTAGTATTAAAAGTGGTTTTTTGTAACATTATGATTAAAATTAATTCAAAATAAGTAAATTAAGAGTAATTTGATATAACAGAAAACTTTTCTAATAGTTTAAAAAAATGCCTGTTAAACTTCAATTCATTGATACCTTTAATTATTTTCTCTTGTGCTATTAGTTATTATTAAGTTGAAAAATTATTAATAGCTTTTATATTATTCATAATTAGTTAGTATTGTCCCAATTGGTGATCTTATATCATTTAAGACCTTCCTATACTTAACTTATCATTAGGTATTTTAAGCAGTATCACACAAAGGATTTATCAATGATAAAAAATATTAAAGTAAATTTTTTATGATTTTTGACCTTAAATGTTATTTGAGCATAATCAATGAGGGTTTTAGTCGTTTATATACACCACTGTTTCTTGGTAACTAAATGTGATTCTTTAGTTAAATTAATATAAATTATTTTTTTGGTATAAAGATTGTTTATAATATTTAAAATTTTGTTTTAGGTCTCCAAGTGAAAGAAATTAAATGTAAAAAGATGAGCACAGATGAAAAAGAAAAAAAATAATTGAAGTCTGTAAATTGATTTTTCTTTCAAAAATATATGTACAATTTATTTGACTTCAAATTTGAATAGTTTTTTTTGTCATTATCAAACCTTTGTATACTGTACTATCTTAGCACTACCAATGTTCTTTTTTTTTTACTACATTCTGTTTTTTCTAGCATTAGTTATTTTATGAGGTAATTAACTTCATAAAATTGTGTTACCTTAATCTATATAATTTGGTGAAATAGGCTTAGTTATATTAGTAAAATAATGTGTAAATAAAAATATGAAATAAATTTGTCATTTTAAAAATGACAAATGTCACCAATTTTAAAAATTGACTATTTAAAATTTTATGATAATTTAAGTAAATCTTCTGTATAAAAACTGCATATGTTAGACTTGTAATTATTAAAAACATCGGCTACGAGTCACTAAAATAATCACAGAAGTCACTTTCAATTTTATTAAATTAAGAATTTTTATTTTATTACAGAAGGGTTCATTATTTAAAGAAATTTATTAAGTTGAGGAGAAGCACAGGCTGAGAAATTCTTTATTGTAAAGATAATTAACTCGCTCTTCACTACCTGTTTATATTTTAAAATCTTAATAAATTCATAAATGTTAGTTGAAAAGTTATTAACAACCAATTATTTCCTAAGTTATATAATTTTCTAATAGCTCAGTTTCATTATGTTACTATCAAAATAAATGAAATATACATTTTTCTAAAGAAACCTAAAAATGGGTTTATAGTAATGTGAATTCATCAATGGAGGAATATTTTGTAATTAAAAAATATAGTTTAAAAAACTAAAAAAACACGCTTTTAAAGTACATCGAACTAAAAAGTTAAAAATAATTTTTAAAATAATTATGAACAAAAAATACTAGTATTATTGTGATAAAAGCGTCGGGCGCTCAATATACGAAAAATATGGCACAAAGCACCCACGCTTTTATCACAATAATACTAGTATTTTTTGTTCATAATTATTTTAAAAATTATTTTTAACTTTTTAGTTCGATGTACTTTAAAAGCGTGTTTTTTTAGTTTTTTAAACTATATTTATTTTTTACTTTTTAGTTTCATGTTATGATAGTAGTTACTATCAATATCATGGTTGTTACGGGTAACGGGAAATCAGGGTTCGATTCTGGGGAGGGAGTCTGAGAAACGGCTACCACATCCAAGGAAAGCAGCAGGCGCGTAAATTACTCACTCCCGGAACGTGGAGGTAGTGACGAAAAATGACGATACGGAAATCATCCCTCGTAATCGGAATGAATACTTTATATCTCTTAATTAGAATAAATCGTGTTAATATATTAATTTTAATAGTAATTAGAATATATATATTTATACAAATAATGCGACTTAACTACGTAAAAGTATCATGCACTAAGTATAGCTGTGTTTTATGGCCGGGCGGGTCGGACTAACGTTATACCCGAGGTATAAACGGCGGTAGGAATATATATATATATACGTAAGGCGCATTAGACGCGGGCGTTATTGGTCAGTCAAAATAAAAATTTGTTTACATATATATAATATTGATGACAAGCACGCGTGTACGGGTACGATAACTAAAAATAAATTTTTATAGGAATAGTGTACCGTCGTATTGTTAGCGAGGCGTGGGGAGGGGTGAATGCGTATAACAGTCTAGTCTAGACAACGGAATATGCGATAACGCGTGGCGTTTGGAGAGTTACAAACTTACAAACAACAACAAACATACACGTGAAACTAATAAAAGCGTGTTAAAAACAGGCAAACCAATTCTCAATTTTATTTTAAAATCGAATGTTAAAATCAGTATTTCTGTACTTTTATTTTCTGAATTGATATCTGCTCCGACCTTAAGTTGCCTAGTTTTTAAATGTATATTTTTAATTGAAAATTTTAAATACTTAAAAACATGTATTTAATTTCATTTGGGGAGATACCACTCAACAATGTTTAACAGTAAAATTATTTGGGTAATTGTAAAGCTGATATTATAATCTCCCTGAAATTTATCCATGACCACTTCATTGTAAAATAATTTTACAATTAAGTGGTTATAATAATTAATTATTAATCGTTTTACTAGATTATAGTTTATAATATTTATTACACTAAAGCGAATAATTGTTAGTACTCTTTCTTTTTTAATAATTTATTTTCTTAATTTTTATTATGTCTATCATTATTTCAATTCAACAATCATAGTATTTAATAACTCAAAATGTTATTTAAGGTAAAATCTTTTAATACTAATTTTTTTTCGTTGTCCGCTATATGTTGGGGACTTTGGATATTTTGAATGGAAAAAACTCTTAAAAATTAATTATTTACTAAACAAGATAGCTATTAGCTTATTACTGTGATCAATCATATAGTATATCGATACGAATGATATCAAAATTACTTTTATAAACTTGTATAAACTTACATAATTATACTTAAATGCTTTATTATTTTAAAGAATTGATATGTTATTTAAAATAGCTTAAAAATACTATCATATCAACTACTATTTCACAATATGAGAGTATCTATACTAATCGTAAATATCTGAAGCTCAATGCCTACAATCGCTTTTTATATAAATACCGAAACAAATTTTGTAAACGTCGAATAGAAAAACACTTCGTTGCCATTGTACTTCGCATCATTGGTTTATAAATATATACACCTATTTTTCACTTTATTTTTTGTTGGTCTTTTTGTAGAAAATTGATTTATTTTCGTTTGATTTGTCCTAATGCGAGTTTGGGTTGTGACGCACGACCCTCGCTTTAGATTCGAATAATTGGCTCGTGCTGACTGAGCATTTTACGGTTAACAATTATCATTATCTTTGCGTTGCCGTTATTATTATTATTCACTCACTATTATTAACTATTGGAAATACAGATGAATTGTAAAGGTTCGTGAATCAAATTGTATGTACTCGTGAAACTTATGTACGTTTTTACATGTATCTATATACTTACTAGGTTATTATACTCAAAATATTAGCCTGAGAAACCATTATAGTCACTTATTCATTACGATCTATTTTTTTTTTTACACACTACATACAGACACGTTTGGAGAAATTATGAATTTTTTTATAAATACTATTTATACTTAATATTATAACGGAAAAAAGTCTGTTTTAACGAGGACAAAATACATTTGTAGATATGTAGCGATTAATTTCTTCTTTATATATTACGAATTTTATATTATTTAGTTGTTTTTTTGTTAATTATTGCTAATTGTAGAACTTTTATGATAAACGTAACAGGAAGAGTTAAATGGTTAATTAAACTATAGCTATTGTTAGACTAAGTAAAAGTGAATTATTAATGAAACTAAACATTATTTATTTAATAAACAATATTTTTGAACCTAATGTAAATTTTATTTTGTACAATGATTTTTTTCTTAAAAAGAAATAAAATTCTCTAAGCTTATCGTCCCACACACACGGTTGGATGATATGATTTTTTAAACTGTAAATTATTCCTTTAATTTATAATAATTTAAAACTATTTATTAAGCCAATAAATAATTGTTTTGAACATTTACGGGTACTAAAAATAATTTGTTAAACGTAGACCACCCCGATGATCACAGTAACCATGAATAACTTCATCTCTTCGGATATCTCTAAGATCTTATTACTCGCATGTGGTTAATAGACCTAATAATAATTTATCATTGTATGAATGAATTTTTAAAAAGTACTTAAGGTGAAGGTGTCGAGTAATTAAATATCCGGCATTAAAGCTAATTCAAAGGAATCGGTAAATGTATTTCAGTTCCATATATTTCTTTCCATACATTAAAAAATTTTATTATTAAAAATCGAAATGTTATAAATGAATTTGGAAACGTAGACGAAAGTACAATGTGATAACTACGCCGGTATACCATTTAGTTAATAAGTCGCGTGTGATAATAACAATAATTTATCATTTTTCGAAAACAGTTTTGTTACAACTTTCATAGTGAGAAAAATGTATTATTTCTAAAATAGAAATGTATATTAAGTTCATAAAAGTTATTATACAGTTTTTGTTTTTTAATATTCAATGATCTTTCTGTAATTGATCACCTGTAATTATAGTTATAAAGGTTGGATTGATTTAGAAATGAACGGGGGGGAGGGGGCAAAATGGATAAGTATAATTTTCTAGGATAAAACTGTTGTTTAAGCTAGAACTGTAACAAAAACAACAATAATGTGATATGTTTTTTATTTTCGATTTTTTATATTATTAAAAAAAAACAATTCTGAATTAACAACTATTTTAATTGAGACTAAGGAAATGAGTTTTTTTTAGATAGAAAGTGATATTTAGTAGTTTTTTAAATTCGAATAAGAAAAATTTTGTTGAAATAAATTGATACCAATTAAAATATTCACTTTACCGAGATAATGAGCAAAGTGAAATATTTTTAATTTTTTAAAAATGTTGCTTTAAATTATTACAGTTTAATACAAAAGTAACTTCAAGAAAACTATTTAAAATTTAAGATAATTTTTAATATTATAAGCCATTAAAAGATGTTTGGTAATAATGAACTTCGTACTTATTTATACTTATAAAGTTAACCTATTCATTTGCCTAGATTTGCCCTTACGTCGTTAATCATTCAGTATAAATTGGTTTATCAAACATTATTTAAAGTAATCATTGAAATTAATTTGTGTAATTTATTGTATTAATGTATATATATAATACATTGTATTTAATATAATTAAATACATACAATCAATCAATTTTAAATTTAAAATAAAAATGTATAAGTTTTTACTTTAAATTATTATTAATATATAAGAATAATTTATTTACAAAATTATCTATGTATTATATATTGTAATAAATATATCTATTTATTTATCACGGATTGAACCCAATTCAATAATAATAATATATAATTACTAATAAAAAAATTATTGATGTTGAAATTTAAATAAGAAAAAGTTAAAACCTTGTAAATAAAATGAATTTTTATTGAAAAAGTTAGTGAAGACATTTTAACGTCAATAGTTCATTTATTTATTTGGATATAGTACAGATTATATTTTAATTATTTTAAGAAATTACCTGAATTTTAAAATCATATCAGAAAATAATTTATTACATATAAGTATCAATACGGTATAAAATATTTTTCTAATTTGGATCTGCACAGTAGCTTTTTATTTCACTAATATAACAAGGCTTGGCACAGCATTCTCCTACAATATTTTCTTCTTTGACCTTTCGTAGAGACCGTGAAAATGGAATAAATGACATTGCATCTCTCTTTGACCGCAGAGGAAATTCACTGTAGTCTTCAGGTTCTTTAAACTCCCATGTTTCTAAGCCTATTGAATAATTTATTTATTTTTATGAACAACGGGAAAATATTAATTCTTTAGAGGGTTTATATGGGATAGTATAATTGATAACAAGAAAGCACGTGTCCACATTATAAAAATATACGTAAAGCTCAAAAGGTCGACAATTTTATTAGGTAGAGATTATTTGTGGGTGATATTATTTAAAATTAAAAAAAATATTAAAAACATATTTTGTACGTATTTTGTCCAACCTGACCGAAAAATACACCTTGTATATCACTAGATACTTATCACCCAGTAACGTTATCACTTAGTAATGTTATTATTTAATCCATCGTTAAATTTTTCCAGTTTATACAAGTTTAACAATAAATTTTGCAGTGGACCTAGTTCATAATTAGTTAAAATCTTATTTTTAAACATTTCTATTGCCTCTCTTATATTAATTTCTTCTTAATTATTTACGTTTTAAATTAGCGTTGTGGTTTTAATAAAGAGTTTAGAAAAGAGAAAATTTTTGAAAATACTGAATACTACTTAAAATGTGATAAAAATATAAGTAATAAACAGAGTGTTAAAAAAAAGGTAACAAGTAACTAGTTTCCTTACTTACTGAACATTCTCTATAATAATAATAATATTATTAATGAGTATCAATAGGGACTTTTCATGTATTTAAACCAGGGCAGGAAATTGTAATGAGTTAGACAAAGAGAAGACAGAAAAACTGAAGCAATCTTTATTATTATTAAACTAAAATTCTCTTAATATTAAAAATGGTATTTTTGTTACATGATTAAAATTCATTGAAATTATTTAAATTAAGAGTAATTTGATGTAACAGAAAACTTTTCTAATAGCTTAATAAAAATGTCTGTTAAACTTCAATTAATTGATATTTTTAAAATTGTAATGAGTTATGTAATAATAATAACGTATAAAAATTATGTCAAAATGTAATCAAGAAATAAAAAAAAAACAATTATATTAATAGACTTAAAATATCGTTAAATATATATGTATATATTATATTAAATATATATTACTATATTTGTATTACTCTAAATTTAAAAAAATTCTATAAAAGAAAAAAGTAGTTGCTTAACACTTATTTAAACTGCTTATAGGCATTGGATTTATTATAAAAGTATATTGGTGTCCTATTACCCCCACAACAAAAGTAATTATATGACAAAAATACATTTTTTTTCGTTAAGAGGGGTAAGTGAAAAGTTTTCTTATGGATATCTCCCGTGCCCAACACAAAACTATAATTATGCTTTTGCTTTTGACCGTGATTTATGATTCGAATTTATTCAACGTCAAAGGAATATAAAAAATTTTAATCCGACTTAAAATTGAAACAAAAAAAAAATGTAATATAAACTTACCAATTTGGCTCCTTTTGTTTGTGTAATGTCCTCTGCAAACTAATCGAGCTATATCCGCTAATTTAGAACCACAATATTGTATAGGTGTCGTAAACTTTTGGGTCATTGCATTTACTACGAGAAATTGGAAGACGGACGTAAGAGTTAAAAAACTTATAATCCAAAATATCCTCATTCTAGAAATAAAAAATATGACAAATTGTATTACTTTATCTTAAAAAGCATAACACTGTAAAAATAAATTCATTTTAATTTTCACTATCTTAGTCTATAATTAATGAATATACATAGTTATTAAGATTTACTATACATGTATAACATTTTATACATAAAATTGAAGAGTTAGAAAAATTGAAATGAAATTAATTAGCATGCACAAATTTGAAAAAAGAGATAAGTTATACATTTTATTATAATACGTAAGTTATGCACAAAGAATAGTATGTCATAATTTAAAATGAATTTCTCATAAAACATTTGTACGAATATAAATAATTTTAATATAACTACATTAGATTAAATAGATTTTATATTTTACCTTGGATGTTTGAACGAACGTCTGAAATTAAATGACTGAACTAAGTTTATTTATTACATTATATCTCCTTTTATAGTACAAATTTATATGCAACTTATTCTAATTATTTGTGTAATGCGTAGGGGTTGTTTGAGATGTGGGGGAAATGACATTTTCTAAGAACTAATTAAATTGGATTAATATAATAGTTATGAGGCATTAATCAAGGTTGATTTATGGTTAGATGGAAGTATTTATAAACTATTGATTTAACAACGAAAGTGTTTGATTGACAGTTTGTGCTTGTTGGGTTTTAAGACTCAATATCATTTTACAGCAGATAATAACTAGAGATTTAAATTGGTTTTCGTATATTTCCATAGGAAGTGTTTTGACCCTCTTATTTCTTACGTCATTTCACTGCAATTACAATAATCAATAATACTCCATTTACTCGTATACAGGCATATTACATTCCATGTTTTTTTTTTAATTTTATTTATAAAATATTTTTTTTTTATAAATTATTTTATTTTAAACCATTTCATATTTTTACATTTGTTGGTAAATATACATAACATAAATATTTTCTTAATTTTAAGCTTATAAATATTTAAAAATTATATATCTCAATATTGTAAGTGTTATATAGGTAGTCATTTAAATCTTATAAGTGATTCATTTTACTAATGTCATTCTTTAGATTGACTTTGTTTCAAGAAAATTTTAGTATTAGATGTTTGGTGCTGACTCTGGCCTTGTCCTCATATCTAATAAAAAGAATAATCTTTTATCAAATAAGCAACTCTTAACTAACGATGTAACTACAGCGTTAAATAAGTTACCTAATTTTGTTCTCCTATATACATTGGTGAAGGACTAGACTGACCCATTGTGCATAGTGGGCCGATGATTATTGTACTTACACGACTGTAAAGCAAACGTGTCCGTACTTTGTTGAGCAAAAAAAAGTAATTTCCTGGCCGGTAAACATAGGAATATGAGCCGAATTTTTTTTTTAACACAGTGGGTGAATGCCCCTATTTGATAAAAATTTTTGGTGACAAGCAGACTTAAAGCCAAAAACCATACACATGATATTTTGATTCGAGGGCCTATTGATATTTTTGAATGTGCCGAGTTCCCACAAGTCCTTCAATGTTCGCCTAATTAAACTATAGTACGAATGGCTTTAAAGAAATGAGAGTAGAGAAGAAAAATGTTAATTGCTAATGTATGAATGATTTAAGATAATATTGAAGTTGTTTTGTACCTGTCATAATAAAGGATCGAAATGACCCGCGAGGGAAAAAAATGACGAATATTATGATACTTGATGTGTTGTTCATTAATTACCACTGTGTTGTGTTGCCCCATCGATTTTTATTTATTGTGAGTAATCGGTAATATTTATACACACACCTTTAATACTTTTTTACTTAATGTCGGTCTCGACTCGTTATGGACCACACGCATGTACTTAGTAATAAATTTGACTTAATAAGCGTGATATTGGACTACCGTTCGAGATTACTGAAATCATCAACGTCATCGTATTTGTTGGTGATCAGAGACAAAACAAAACCTTAAAAGTAATTACAAAGCCAATTTCTGTCAGATACGATTGACAAATGGTCGTCGAGTCGTGTTGGGAGGGCTCAAACGAAAGTTAAGACCTCTGTCTGGGAGAAGGCGGTAGTTGTCTGTTTGCTCTTTATTACATTGCTTTTAGCTTCTTGCGCTGTGGTGCTGGTCACTAGCAGTTTCTCACTTGGTTTACATCGACATAGAATGTCATTATTATTATTATTAGTGTTTTGTTTTCTACTTGACGTGTGTAATTTGAAATTCCAATATTGTTACACTCGCGCGCATCATTTGTCACCCCCTCCCGTCAAAACCACCATACATGGTCAATAGCATAATTCTACATTAATATTTACTGCTCCTGACTGAGATTATTTATTGTAACTTGCATTTATGTGCCTATTCTTTGTTCGTGTTTGTGAGTACATTCACTTGTGGTTAAGATAGTCAATGTATATCTGTGATTGACGCAAACCAATTGCTTGCATTGACATACGTGCAGTCTTTCTCGGTGTATATTCGTCGATACCTTTTGGTTTAGTCAATCATTGTTCATAGGATTACATATTTTTCGGCAATAATAAAACACCCAGTTATAATAAACGTATTGAGTACAAGTTAAAAAAATTTAAGTCTGTTTATTCTAAGTTTTGCAATTATGGATCATCATAGAATTGGGTTGAGGTAGTTCATAAGGTACCTTTATTATTTCGTTAGATATTATATTTATTTAGTTATATTGAGAAGTGTTCAGTAACGGGATCAGTACACCCGTTCTCTTTTTTTTTTCCATTATTAAATAGAACCCGGTGGGAAATGTTTTTACAATACTATCACTCAGCTCACGTCGTTTTTTCTTTTTGTATCGTAGTATCAAATAAAATTTATCAAGTATACTCAGACTATGATATTTTTTGATTAATAGTTAATTCATTTTTCATATTAAAATAGTTATATTCGTGTACACAATATGTAAAACACATAAAACGTCTGAGTTTATGTTGTCGTATTTGTTCTTTGACATTATTGACAAATATTTTTTTCCTGTCATAAATTTTAAAGCGGTTCTTTGAGCTTTAGTTATGATATTTACCCATAAATTAAGATGCGGTTTATAACTAACGTAACACCAAAAAAGTGAATTTTATTATTTGCCCGATAAACTTATAGTGAGATTTACCTAAATTTGCCTTCAGAAATGGAAAAATTTGTAATATTAAATTATTACTAGTTACTATAGAAATAAAAATTTGATATCCAACATTAATTTACTAGATGTAAATAAAATGTATTGTGAAGAATTTATGTTGTTAACAAGACAGTTGCTAGGTAACGAAGTCATTTTATCATATAAATACGACAAACATAAAAAAAAAATTGTCATTTTGTTGTTATTTTTCTCTAAGCCAGTTTCTCGCAAATAAATAGTGTCAAAAATTTGTGTTTTACTAAAGTCAAGCTAATTTAAAATCATGTCATAGATCCACAAGCTGTGAAGCTTATGTAGACTCTCAAAGGTTTGTACAATATAATTGAACTACTGCTTGATACTGAAGAGTTGCACCAATGGCTGATGAAAGTAAGACACCAAAGTAGGATTTCTTATCAACAGTCATCGATGAATATATAAGATCTTCTTAATCTTGCCTTTGAATTGATGCGGGAACTGTTAGAGACTGCATTTCAAGCGTTATAGACTATTACACAAACATACTGTTACGCAAAATTCCTTCTAAAAAATAGGTAATAATCGATTCATCAAAACGGTACGTACATTTTTTATTAGTTAGAACCAATATTGGTTCAAACCCAACCAGGACGCGATTATATTCGCTCAGAATGACATCGCTTCATGGTTGCATACTAAAAAATATTTTAGTTGATTTAATTAAAATCAGTTTCGAATATTTAACATAATGTAAATTCAACATCGCTAATTGTATTTAAATTACATATAATAATGTATGAGCCTTGAATAATACGGTTGTAGTGTATTTGTAAAGCTCAGTTATGTAGCCACTCAGATGGTAAATGAAGTTTAGTGAAATGATATTTTACTTTAACAATGAAAGTTAATTCTTAAATTTTCATCACTTCAGAGTCACACGCTACATTTATTTATCATGAACTACTTAATTAAATAATTAAACAATAAAAATATAAAAATAATACAGAGAATTATTTTTTTCCTGTTTTGGTACACCCTGAGAAAAACCTCGATCTATATAATAAATTCATTGTTCAATTTGATAAATATATCATTACTATTGAATCTATGATATATTTATCAATATGATAATTTTTTTTCTTGTCTTGAACAATAATTATTTATATGAATAGTTATTTTGTTCGTACTAATAAAACATTATCATAAACCTTTGATAAAATTTCTCTATCAAAACTGATTGAGGTTTTTCTTTGGGTGTAAAGAGATGAACATATAAAATACTTGATGATTGATGAATTGAGAAAAACATGTATTAAAAAAAAAATAAATTCTCAATATTATTTTTATTTTTTTATTAATTATGTGGTTCATGATAAATATATAAATTACATTGTATACAGTGTGATTAAAAAAAAAAACAGTGTACGGATTTTTTAACGATTCAGAAAAGGAACAACAGTCAAAATATTTGACTGTTGTTGTTTTTAAAAAACACATGTAATATATTATTTATACACATTAAGAATACAAAATATTTAATTACCCCTGATTCATTTTTATAATGTACTAATATTTTGATCGGGATCTTAATCGAAAAAAAAACCTCTCTCCACACAAAGAAAACTACAAAAAAACTTTATAATTTTTTATACAAACCAATTTATTCAATAAAAATAAATTCAATATATTTTATCATTACATACAGCACCTATATATCATCATTTTGTATTTTTTGTATAATGAATACACATTGTAAATAATATAAAACTATTGTACAATTTTTTTCTTTAATGTTAGCTAAAGCTAACACTAATGGTTATTATAATAACCATTGTAGTTGATGCTTAACAAAAAATAAATACAAATACTTTGATCATTCCGTTAAATCAATAATTATATTATTATAATATTATATTATAAAAATATTATATTTAAACAAAACAAAAATGGTAAGTAAGTCGTCCAGTTACAAAAGGATGTATGTAAAAATAAATTGTATAAGTAATTTTGATTTTTTTTTACGAATTGGCTAATAACTAGAAAATAAAAAGCAAAATTACAAAAATCATTTTTTTAGACTATATCTTTTTGCAACTGGACGGTTTATTTGTGACTTAAGAACGAAATTTCACTTTATTAACAACACTACCATGTTTAACTTTGTAACTATTATTAAAATTGGAAATTCTCTAAGATTATAGGCGAAAAGAACTATTAACCTCAAAGTATGTGATTGCTTACCTTCCTGGTAACTAAAAATTTAGTTACCAGATTTATTTTAATTATGTCAACAATGAAGTATTTGATTTTTAAAAAAGATGTATTATTGCTTTTATGAAAAAAAATAGTCTAATAAATGTGAATTATAATTTAAATTTATTAAACTATTTTTTTTATATTATATATAATATTTTTAGTATAACCATTATGATAATTGTGATGGTAATTGAAACAGAAATTATTTTCCAGATGTGTGCGTCATCAATAAATACTCACGAGTAGTTTTTATACGTCTTATATTTACTTTTAATAATAGAAATAGTCCATTGGTGTAAAATTCAACATTCAGTTTTTCTAAGAATGTTAATTCGAATGCCTAGCATGGAGGCAGAGGCGAATATTGATAAAGTGACTAAATTTTTTGGTAAACAATATCTAATTTAATGGCTTTCTTAAAAATATGTTAATAGAAAGATGCGATTTTTTTAAATTTTGGAGGTAATCTGATCATATGAAATACAATGTACTCCAATAAATTAAATTATACACATTCAGTGTAAAGATAATATCTTCACTGGGAGGGTACGTTTCTTGTATTTTTATTTTTTCTTGTTTTTTGAATTTATTCTCTCGAAGCTTTAATTTGGCATAAATGTACCGGAGCTACTCGTGTGTGTTGCAAAATCACAACTATTAAAGTCATTGAATTCAGTTTTCATGGAATCATAAATCCCTTGCGCTGAGGTTAATGTGTTGTGTGATTTCGGTAGGGATATCGAAGCGACGGCGCGAGTAATGCTGGGCGTCTACAAAATGGCACCACGAGACTGTGGGAGCCAATAGAACGCAACCTTACGGTCCGCCTATATCGAGGGGGGCCGTCACGTCCGTGGCGGCGGTGACCAGGCGAACCGGTCAGTATCGTTTGTACTGCGCCGAGTTAGCCGTCATTTTGCCGCGAATTTAACACGGATTTCTGCCGTTCTGGTGCACTCGTATCGGCGTGTTGTCGTTTTCCGCATATGGCGCACCAAAACTGCCATCGAGTCATAATGCGATTGGCGTCCCAATCTTACAGAGTCGTGTAATCCGCAAACAAACACTGTGTCGTCGCAGTCTCGTGATATTTAATTGCACGTGCAAATAACAATTGCGGATCTGTACTATGAACGAGCAAAGGTGCGAGGTGCGCGTTGTCGGCCGATAAAAAGGATGGTGACGTGAGAGATTATGCCGAGACCTTGTAGAGAGTCCTACGGCGACCAGAAGCCACCGTACAGTTACATATCGCTGACGGCAATGGCTATTTGGAGCGCGCCGGAAAAAATGCTGCCGCTGTCCGACATTTACAAATTTATCAGCGATCGTTTCCCGTATTACCGAAAGAATACTCAAAGGTAAAACGTCAATGTACACACAACGTGTCGTTTAATTTCACGAACGTTTTTCATTCAGTAACATACAACGATTTAAACTACTAATTCAGTAGTTGTATGTTCAAAATACTACTTCATTAGTGTTAAAATTAATAGAATACTTTTCAAGTTGGACATGTTTGTAATTTTATTTTCTTTATTTTATATAATTTGATTTATCGTACATATTGATTAAGTATTTATAAGCGTTTTCGATATTATTTGAATACGTTGAGCAGTAACGTTTTAAAGCGGTTTACAGACAGAATAACTCGTTTAGTTATCGAAAAACTCAGTATTTATTGAACTTAAAATTACATAACACATTTATTATTGCGAATTAAATTGTTAATATCTGGGCATAAAGAATTTATAATTTTGTCTATTTTTTTAATTTTAATACTTAAAACGATAAAAAACAAATTATTAGATTAGGAGGACTTTAGTTTCTTTTGGGTAGGTTCTTCCGACTTCCCTTCAGATAAATTATTCTTTTTCAATCCTAGAAAAATAAATAAAGACAGATTGTAAAAAAACAAAAAATAATTATTAAGAAAATACCCAATTAAAATTTATCGTGACGCTAACTACAACTACAATCTGAAATAAAGTCGGAGACTGATCATGTGTTTCTTTTTAGCCTGCCAACTTTTTTATTTAAATTGTTCAAAGAAGCTTTTACCTTGATTGAGAAAATCTAATAGATCTTCTATTTCGGCGCTAGATTTCTGATTATATTTTATAGCTAAACAAAAACATAACATTAAATTTTAATACTAAAATCAAAATTATATACCAGTGTTTTATATAATTATAAAATAATACCTTCATCCCTAAGTGATAATGTACTTGATTTTTCAGATTTATTTTTAAAATCTAAACAGAATATGCAAAAACATATAGTTAAATTTATATTGTATATTATTTTTAGTAATTTTTTTATAAAAAAACAATTTTTATTTATATATATATTTCAATAGCGACAGAAAAAAATGTGTTGCTTTTTTATGTAAAAATGGGATTCAAAATTTAATTTGACTTAATTAACTCTTAACTTATCTAATTATACCGTAGTAAAAAAAAAGTTATAATAATATAATTTACATAAATTAAAACAGTACCTATTTGTTGGTTTAATTATCATTCGGTGTAGAAAAACAAATCAATTAGGGAAGATGTTAATTTTAACGTTTAGTCTTAAAAATAATTAAAATAACTCATACTTGTCTTTAACTCATCAGGTATTGATACATCGATCATTTTATTTTGTGGGTTATAAATGAACCCTAAATTATGATACTTTTTTAAAACAATATTATTCATTTCATTGTTGAGTTTTTCTTTCACATAATCTAAAAATATTTTCCTATTTGAATCATTTGAATATTTTTGAATATGATCCTTTAAGTCTCTTTTTATTGAATTTAAATTATTGATTACATATTTACAACATTTAAGGTCATCTGTAATATCTTTTTCCTTTGTTTCAAAATCAACTTTAATAAATTTTAATATGTTTAAAGACGTTGATGGATCATTTAGTAACGGACGTTCACTTACAAATTTCCTTGGAATCCTTTGCAAAAGTGACAAATGATAGTAAAAAGTATAGCTAGTATAATCAGCCCATGGTTTAGTATGCAGATCATCCAATGCCATCAATGATTCCTTCATTATTGTTGCCAATAAAGATAATTTTTTTATTATTTCCAATAACTCAACGGTACAATTATAGATGTTTGTGTTGCCAATTGATAGAGGACAATAGCAAAGATAATAATGTAACATTAAAAATATTTTCTTTAAATCCCTTGCGAATGTACAACCGAGTATTAAAGTAGCTCCGCGTATTTTCCCACCGAAAGAAACGGTACTTTTAGGTTCAATAGATAATGTGTAATATCTTCCCATCCAGAAAACATTAATTACATCATTCAATTCTTTCCATCCAACATTTGAAAACAATGTGTCAAGGATATTTTTAGGTTTAGATGTGCCGGTAGATAATGTAAGAAATATTATTGAACATAGTAAACTAATGTCAGTCATTTTTAAAAAGAACATTTTTAATTCTAACACAAATCAATAACTGTATCTGTTGAAAATCCGCAGAAAACAATTAATATATTTTTAATTGAATCAACAGAGTTTCTATAAATGTGTTTTTAGAATTTAAATTAAATCGAAATACTGACGTAGCGTAACTAAGCTAATATTAGTACATTTATTTTGCAAAGTAAATGAATCCATTTTTTAAAATTTATTTTATATCAATTTGTGACCATTCTTTTTCTACTAATTTTATCTACATTATGAAATATTAAAAATGTTACTGTTTTAAGAGCTCGCACAACAAATTTTTGGTTAAATTAAATTTCTTTTAAAATGAAGTTAAATTTTATATGTTGATTTAAATAATTTTAATATTCTGTTGTTTTCTTGCGGTCATGTTTAACTTCAAATATATTTTTGAAACTAAGGCCGTGTGAACAATTTTCTAAATAATTATTCCGACTAAAATTAATAGAAAATAGTAATTAATTAGAGTGAAAAACATTTTACTTTATTTTTCACTGTTTTCGTGATTTTTTTTATTAATTTTTAGATAAAAAAATTATTTTTTCTATTTTTTTTTCATATATTTTGGGAATTTGGTTTTAAATAAACTGTACTTTTTGTTTCATTAGGTAGAGTTCGTAAAGTGCGTATTTCAGTAATTTATAATTTAAAAAACAATTGTTATTTTGTTATACATTGAAAAAAAATTGCATTATTTCTTATAACATGATTTATGTATTCGTTATTTTTGAAAGACTTGTATTTATTTGTAGGAAAAATGTACAGAGTTTTTTCGAGAAATTATAATAATATATTATTGAATTTAATAATTATATAATAATTGTGTGTGTTATTCTAATAAAAATATCTTATTGTTTGAACAACTTTTTTAAAACTTTCAAGTTTAGTATAAACATTGAACTGCTGTGATTTGGAATTGGCTTTATTTTTAGTAAAATATGACTAAAGATTACTTTTAACACTATTAAAAATTCATACACGTATTAGATAATTGATAATAATTAAGTCAGTTTTATTAAGTGACTATTGTTTAAGCATATCAATGGTTAACAACAATTATGATAAACGCCGCCACCACACAGTCGAACAATAACATTTAATTATTATTTTACCGTGTGTGGTATTACAATTTTACTCAAACTAATCCAATGTATCGATTCAATAGATATTGATAAATCGATCAGTTGGTACTTTTGTATTATTTCGAATAAAAAATACAATACAATGACTAGCAATTCGTTTGTTTCGTTATTAAATACTAACAATAGTAATCGTCCTTCACTGTGTATAATGTTGACATTGGTCAGTATCAGTCGGAGGTAAATATCACCTATTCTGTCGGAATCATTGAAGTACTATACTAATCTGAATAGTCGTTTGATGTTATCAGTTAAAAAAATATAGTCGATTAATATTAAACGTGAGAATATTTTATTCAAAAAGACTGCCAACTTATTACGATTAAAATTTATTATTACTGAATTAATTAACAATTAAACTATTGACATCATGTTAAAAAACGAACTAGAATTAAATACGAATTTATATAATAATTAATAGTCTCAGGCATCTGAAACTTAAAGTGAATACATTTACAAGGTTCCAACTGTGATTTATTCATTAAAATCAAATGGGAATATCTGTAGTACCGTATGTATTCCGTTCGAGTCATTTATCTTTACTTATGATTATAATAATGCACGCTAATATTTACTCGTTAAAAAAATTAATAATCATAATTTTCTTTATTTGATACTAAAGATTTGATACCAAATTAAGGATTTATTGAACTTTAAATTACATATCATATTTATTATCGAGAATTAAATTTTTAATATCTGGATATAGAATTTATAATTTTATCAATTTTTTAAATTTAATACTTTAAACGATATAAAATAAAAAACAAATCTACTAAAAACTAATCTATTAGATTTTTCTTTTTGGTGAGTTCTTCCGACTTCCCTTCAGATAAATAATTCTTTTTCAATCCTGGAAAAATAAATAAAGACAGATTGTAAAAAAACAAAAAATAATTATTAAAAAAATACCCAATTAAAATTTATCGTGACACTAACTACAACTACAATCTGAAATAAAGGCAGAGACTGATCGTGTGTTTCTTTTTAACCTGCCAACTTTTTTATTTAAATTGTTCAAAGAAGTTTTTATCTGGATCAAGAAAATCTAATAAATCTGCGGTAGATTTTTGATTATTTTTTATAGTTAAACAAAAACATAACATTAAATTTTAGTACTAAATTAAAATTATATACCAGTGTTTTATATAATTATAAAATATTACCTTCATCTCTAAGTGTTAATGTACTTGATTTTCAGATTTCTTTTTAGAATCTAAACAGAAATGAACAATCATATGCAAAATCCTTTATACCTTATAAGGGTGTCAACTTTAATTTTTTAAATGGCAACATGAATAATTAACTAATTTATTTAGTAGATAATGATCTAAGAAACTGATTTGTCGATAACATCTTTTGGACCAGTATTTCGGAAGTTATTGACATATTTATATTTTGGTGAGAGTACGGCCGAGAAGTCATAGTTGTAGTTGTAAAAACTACTCTTAACCCCCAGTCATTATTTTGAATTGTTAATAACTTTTATAACACTGGATAAAAGATAAACATAAAAAAATACTTTATTATTGAAAAATTGAGAAAATCGTTGAATTAAAAGAAACAAATAATAAAATTATAATATTACTTTTATTTTTCGATTAAATGAGCGGTTTATGATTAGTGAACCATTCTGTATATTGTGAATTTCGTTTTAATTAAACTATACTTTTAATCTTATTAGTTGAAGATTTAATGATTAAATGCATATTTCAAGATAAAAAAAGAATTTACTATTTCTTTTAACGCAATTTGTGTATTCGTTATTTTTGAAAAGCTCGTAGAAAAAATATAAATATATTGCTGCAAAAATTTTATAAAAATAATTATAACAATGTGTTATTCTAATATAAATATTTTTTTTTTATGATTATAATTCGCGCAGAAATGTTTTACTTGTTAAAAAAATCAATAATCATAGTTTTCTTTATTTGATTCTACTAGATTTTATTTTCATTTGCCATTTGTTATTGTTTATGCATCTGATTTGTTACGATTAGTGTTATTAATAGAAAACATTTTGTTTACAGGTGGCAGAACTCATTAAGACATAATTTGTCGTTCAACGACTGCTTCGTGAAGATACCTAGGCGTCCAGATAGACCGGGCAAGGGCGCGTATTGGGCTCTTCACCCTGCTGCCCTAGACATGTTTGAAAACGGTTCGTTTCTAAGGCGCCGCAAGAGGTTTAAATTGCCTGCAGCCGATCGTGCACTACTCGAAGCCACTTTTGGGAGAAGATCGTCGGAATCACCTCAACTGCCCCCCGTTAATGCAAACACAACAGTGCCGGCGGAACAGCATTCGATATTGTCGTCCCCGTCGACAACTACAACAGCCCAAAATAAACCTAAACTATTCAGCATAGAGAGTATTATTGCTCCGCGCTCCAGCCACCCGGCCGCCGAGGTCATCAGTACCGCCGCCGAGTCGCCTCCTCTACCGCAGCCACTGCTGGTGACCGACCGTCCACCATATCCACCGCCGGTATGTCTGCCACCTACACACCGACCTCTCGTGCAGGATCACACAGTCGGTTACGCAGCCCTATACGCCGCTGCTCTACAAGGACTGCTGCAGCAACCGTTTGCAGCGGCCGCAGCAGCAGCAGCAGCCGCCAATGTTTTCCCCGGATCATCCGCTCCATTGCCGCCGTTCCACCACTATACTCATTCAATACCGTCGTTTACTCAACTGTCAAACTTCACAAACTTGGACTGCGGTACGGCAAGTATCATACTTTAGTTTGGAAGATAAGATTAAGAGCAGTATTTTTACCAACCATTTGTAGTTATGATAAGTAAATAATTACTTTCCAAGCGCGTACATTCCAGCGCACGTTTTTATTTAAATATTTTTTTAGTTTTTAATATAAGTAATAATTGTCTAATAATTTTTACATGGATGGTCAATGACCCGTCAAGGTACAGATTTTCGTTAACAATCGATTAGCTACTTCGAAAATTCTAATCTTTTAAAATATAGAAAAACTTTAACCTAACCTTAGGTGAATTCTGACCTCGATCTTCCTAAACACTTTATAGATATCGAATGATTGATGACAGAACTTAACAGAATTTTAATCGGTGTATATTACAACCAATGTGAACCATCTCATCGTTTTTGTCTTGATAACAATATTAGTCTTCATTGAATTAATTATTTAAACTATTGACTGGAAAACATTTAACTGTTATAACATTTCGTGGTTGTTCGTTTACTTCGAATTTGATAATTGTTGCACTCTAACTGAGTAATTAACTATTTTGTCGATAATTTTAATTTATCTTATTAATTAAATACGTCTTGATTAAATAAACATAGTAAGTACTTTTTAATAGTTAAATAAATTTAATCGTTAAAAAGTTTAATGGTTTTATAGGATTTTTTATACCTATATATATTTTTTTGTGTAAACAATAATATAGAGAATATCTATATAATATCATCTATTGATTTTCCCAGTGTTACACTGATAACCATTAAATAAAACCTTCAGGAGAATAAAAGTAATTAGGAAATGACTAAGTAGAGACACTTCTACGTACACAGAGTTTCATTGGGTAAAGTTTTGTCGGCGGAGCAGTATACCGTTGAATAGCACTCGATATAATAATGCGAGAAGATTGTAAGGAGGCTGTAAGTTATACCCACAGTAGCTGTAGGTATTATAGTAATAATAATAGTGTACTGAATCCACACTAATTAATTATTGTCGGCTGATAAAATTATTCGAACGGTTGATTTTTCTCTTCTTTTGACACGCAGCTAATTTTCACTGCTGTATTACTCTTGATGAATGAGTCGTGAAATTAATGAACATTATCACATAAATCTTTATCATTCGTTCACCTTTAGATATTTTTCGACACAAGACGTCTCACGAGTCAAAACTTATAATACAAACAATTATAAAAACTGTTGTAATGAACAGATTGAATGAGAGTAAAATCACGTGATCGGTTGTGTGTTTTAGTAAATATTTATGAACTTGAATATATTTTCTCAACAATGTTATTGTTTTTACAAAAAAATGATTCAACATTAGTTTTCTTTCGATTTATGTACTATTGTTTGAAACTCTTGGAAGTAGTAAAAAATATTATTAGGCTCCACGGACATCACGAGCTTAGCCGATTCTACGAGAGAGTACAACACAATGCTGAGGACAAAGAGCGGGTACGCGATACTAGTTTAACATTTAATTTAGTGTGTTATTATAATTTATTAGTTTAAATAATTTAATTGTATGTTAGTTGTGGATAACCGTACGATCCTGACACAGGAACTGACTCGTAAACTTGGTCCTATTTTACACGCCTACCCCGTCCAACCCTATTGTCACAATAGAAGCTTGTCACTTTAAAATTCCATTGTAAGAACTACACACACATACACAAATCCGGTAGCTACTTATATAATAATGCGCTATTATGTTATTCGTTATTTGTTCGTCGGACTATAATATCACAGAGATGTGTCGCGGTGGTCCGATTTAATGTGTAGAATACGTCGTAAACGGATTGTGTGTGTTTTTTTATTTCAGAAGAAATATTAAGTACGGGTGGCGCGGGTCAAAAAATAATAATAATAAAAAATGAAAAGGCGTCAAATGAGATATGGCCGGAGAGCGTCATAATATTAATATGTCTTTCGAGAAATTCCGTTTTATTGTTTTTCAAACTTGCACTACGGTCCCAGTGCAGTACACTTTGGCAAGCCCTTCGGTTGATGTTTGCCGACAACGGGCGCCGGACACGGTAAGGTATATTGTGGTTGTATTCGCCTTCTACGGTGACTTCTAGAGCAATTTCAGTATAAAGTTTTTGAGAGCCGCTATAGCCACCCAGTAAACATACGAATATAATAATAATAATAAAAAAATCGACCTGGGATTACACTAATAACACATGTGTACGGGTAATAATATTACACCGAAGTGAATCGCGTGACTAAAAACTCGGTGAAGCGTTTCGGTTATTTATTGCCTTTATACTCGTAATCGAATAATATAAATCGTCCCGAGACATTTTTGCACTTAATTGAGCATATCGATTAAATTGCATACTCGCAAAGCAGTCCAAACGCAAATATAACAGAATTGGTTAGAAATGATCTGAACGCCGCGACAATACGAGTATACTTTTTTTATTTTGACTGTCTACGGTAAGTGTTGTAAACCGCTTTTACATTTTTATGGGCACTGATAAATTACACCTTAAAAAGCATGTCCCGAACTTGTTACGCAACAATTAATTATTAAAACACATATTCTCAGTTAAATAGTAACTAATGCTGTTACAGTTTATACAGTAGCGTTTAATAAACTGACCACATGTTCATATCATCTAGTATTTTCTCGCGAAACGAGTTACTTGTCCCTTTCCAAACGATTATTTTTAATTGTTATTATTATTATTTTTTTTTTTACCTAGAGCGTTTATTTAAGAGTTCTTTCCCCGATGCTTATGAACGTGAAACACATAAGTGGTTTTTGTAGTAATAAATTTTAGACTAGACAATTTCCTCGAGGTGGTATTACAAACACGTTTACTTAATATAGTAACCTTAATCAACGGCTAATATTTTGCTGGGGGAAACAAAAATCTTTTATCTAAGCTTAATTAAATTTATATAAAATAAATGTATCGATAAAATATAAAAACACAATATTTATTAAATCGACAATATCATAGATATCAGTGGACCTATCAGCTGGATGATTAACCACGAAATCGCTTCTGTAGTTCTTTAAACGCCAGCGAAATGTGTTTTAACGTTGAAAAATGTAACTCTTGAGGCAGTGAAACAAAGTCGTTCGTTTGTCGGCTAAACGCACACATTATCGCGAAGGGATGGTCACATTATCGAGGGCCACAAAAAATATAATTGCATTCGTGACTATTACATACACTGTGAGCGGGTACGTGTCTCTAAGTGCTTTCGAGATTAAGATCGAATTCATAGTGTCAGTTTTACGATGTAAAGAAAGGCAGATGTTTTATTTAATAAAGGTGTTGTTGGACACATATTACCACCAACACCAATAGCAGCGACATGTGCGGCCCGGTGTTGACTTTACAATTTTCTTGCAGCAAGACTGAGTGGCAATAGAGTCGGTGGCTTCCGGAGGGGGTGACCGAAATCTTGGCGCTGAAGGTTTCATAAACGTGTAATTAATTGATAATCATCTTTTGGGTTAACAATTTATACCATTTTTTTCCCGACATGAAATTACATAAAACCGCAGTTGATATAGTTTGACTGAGAGTAAAAGTANACAATTTTCTTGCAGCAAGACTGAGTGGCAATAGAGTCGGTGGCTTCCGGAGGGGGTGACCGAAATCTTGGCGCTGAAGGTTTTATAAACGTGTAATTAATTGATAATCATCTTTTGGGTTAACAATTTATACCATTTTTTTTCCGACATGAAATTACATAAAACCGCAGTTGATATAGTTTGACTGAGAGTAAAAGTAGGCGCACTAAAGTAAAAAAATAAAACACGTGTAAGTGCATTGCCACTCAAGGTTGTTTATTGTTCCTAAACACAGGTCGCAGACGACAAGAGAAAAAACTGCCAATTGTTTTTTTTTCCCTTAGAGTTGATTTTTAAAAAAAGAAACAGTAATCGTGTTAAACCAACATCGGACACGAATCATAAATTGAAAATAGTTTTATTTAATTAGTAGCATGAATATTTTTTTGTTAGCGTTTGAATCGATGACCATCATTGGTTTGACACACAATGGGAGATTAAAAAACATTACGCGAAAAAGTTAATACTGCGATTATTTTAATAGTTTTGAGCTATTTTTTGGACTAGGCTCGTGGACAAAGGAAAAAATGTTGTTCTAGTCATTGAAACCACTTGGTAGTTCATTGATTATGACTTACATTTCTCAGAAATTTCTTTTATCAGTATTTGTTTAAAAATTAATGATGCACGGTAAATATAATCTAAGAATTATCTTACTTGGATTTGGTTGAGTACGTTAGATGGTTATGCATATTTAACAATTAATAATGTCAGACTGCCTTTGACCGCTGACCTAATTAACTTCTATTAAATTACTTGGGATTAAGTAACACGATTATGTTTTATTTTATTAATTTGTATTTTTTAATAATTAATATTATAAAACAAAAATTATATTAAGTTTTGTTTTAATAGTAAAATAATATTAAAAATATGTAAATAATTCCTGCGATAGTTCCAGAAAGTAAAATATTCTCTGCAAAATTAGTATTTATCCGAATATATTGTTAATGATTGAAATTATGCGCACTAAAGTTAGTTTTTAATCTTGTAAAGAATAGTCGCAATATTTCCCATCATTATAGATATTTTTACCATGTAATTCAATTTACAATACAATTCATAAGAATTAATTTAAGTAAAATTAGTGGGGCAACAGTTTAATTACAAAATACGATTAAAATATTTGAAATGTTTTTGTATATTAACAACAAGTATGTTAAGGTGTTCCATTTATATTTGACTAATTCATATTTGCGTTGATAAGAAATTAACATATCTTTTTATGTTAAGAATTAAATATATAAAAATACTACGTGTTTATTTTATATATTTTTACTTGCGTAGTTGTAACGTCATGTAATGAGTTTTACGATAAAAAGTTAGTAGATTTTGATTAGTCTTAAATATCTTTTATTATAAATTACAGATTAATAGAGAGGCCAATTTAAGACGTTCGAAGTAAATT